CTGTCTTCGTTTCAGCCAACTGGATTGCCACTGTGCCGCAGCGTGTAGCACGCTCTACCAGCACTCGAAAGCCCGTATATAGATGTTCGCTTCGCTAGAAAACATTTTTTTTTTTTTTTTTTTAGAGTTTGCTAGTTTTTTAATTGCTTCCACGAAGAGCTAATAGCTCGTTTTCGAAAGCACTCGCCACCGTTGCTGCGCGAATTATCTAAGTCAGCCATTGTATGGGTGGACTATGCTCTGTTTCATACTTAGCGTGCAACGCTTTCAAAGCTGCTGGCGCGAGCATAAGGCTTGATCTCGTTGATCGTCTGCGCGCGTTCTCACGCAAACAAAACCATAGATGAAGCCACGCGCTCGCGCCAGTAGCTTTGACAGCGTTGCACGCTAAGTATGAAACCGGGTATAGGCACGCACGCACTCCGCGTGCATTGAATACCAGGTCATAGCCTCCTCTATTGGCGACGTGCGCAACCGAAAGCGTCGCTGTCGTCGGCCTTCCACGATTGGCCCAAAAGCTGACTATGACGTCGGAAAGGGTATACCATCGACGGAATTAAGATGAATGAAAGAACTTTAATTTCGACGGTGTGGGCAGTGTTGCTTTGAAAGCGCAATGATTTCAGGCTTCCACCATGCTATTTACAAACACCATCGAACTTGTTGTTCGCCAGGTAATGACGTCACAAGGGGGAACCATAGGAGGGCGCCACCAAAACATCTCGCCGCTAATACTGCCAAAGCCTGGCAGATCGCCACGAGACGCGCGGCCATCGAAAGTGAAAAGGTAGGGCGGCAGACAGAAGGCCAGAGCCGTTAATACTGAGAGTTTGGCCAATGGGCGGAGCTTGTTGACCGCTAGAACCAACGGATGTCGCGATAACACAAAATGGCATTACTTCTTTGTCTTGTTTATTCCTGAGAAATCTTTGTCTTGTTTATTCCTGAGAAATTGCATAGAGTTCCCATGAGCCAGAGCCAGAAAATGGCGGATGGAAGTAGTCATTCTCCGGTTGTAAGACTACGCCTCTGTGGTTGCCAGGCTGTTGAAATCAACATTGGCCACCGCCAATGTTGCCTGATCGGTTTTGAAAAAAGTCTATTGTGGGTGACCTGTTTCCATGAAAACTATTTTCTGGACGAAACCACCGAGTTATTTTTCGCACAACGTACACATCAGTGGCACAACCCCGGGGGGGGGGGGGGGGGGGGGGGGGGGGGGGGAGATATTTGAGCTAGACTTCTAACGCAAAAGAGCCCCCCCCCCCCCCCCCCCCCCACCCCCCCTTTCCCCTGCGCAAATAAGCCAAGACTCATGGCCGCCCCAAACAGCGAAGCAGACGTCCACAACTCACCGGTAGCAGACGACAGAAATAAGAGCACCAAAGGGGAAAACAAGCAAATAGAAAATTGAAGGTCTGTCACCGCGGCTGGAAGAGACTTTAAAAATAGGATCTCCCCGGGTTTAAAACAAACAACAAAAAAAAAAAAAAAAAAAGCGGCAAAACAGAAAGAAAAAAAAAAGTTGAGTAACGTAAAGGGCGCGGGAGCCACATTAACCATTTCAACAGCCAAGCCAAGGCGAGAGCCGAGCAGAAAGGGAAAAACGAGCCAAGAATTGTTTTTCCAGGGCCGATTTCAGGGAAGTACGACGATATATACACAGCAGCGCTAAGAGAAGAAGCAGCAAAAATATACACAAAGAACTCGAAGCGTTCGCCCCTGAAGGCATCCTTCCACGCCGGCGAGCATCGTAATACAGTGAAAGCGAAGAACACTGCACAACAATTCTCGCAGCGCGATCAGCAAGATCGATTGGAGTCAGTGCAGGAGTCTGTCGACAAAGACCAGGAGTTACCCAGCCCAGTTATTTTTCGTACTCCAGAGTCCAAATCTAATATAAAGCCCCGCTTCGACCTTGAACCGTAATCATGAACTAGATCCAGAATAAACCTATAATAATAATTAAAAAAAAACACGGACAACCACGTTTAATCTTTTACCAACCACATACAGAACGTCTCGACCAGTCTCGACCATCACACACGACGTATTTGAGGTTGAAGGGTTTTATTCTAACTATTTATTTATCGTTTTTCTTCGTCCCAGGTTTACTATGAAGCAGGGATGGGCAAAATACATGCAAATATGTATCGAAATACAAATATAAAATACTTGGTCAGAAATGTATTTAATTACAAATCTAATTACATTTCCAAAAAAAGCATTTAAGTACAAGATAGAAATACAACCAATTGTATTTGGCCTCCTCCAAATACTTTTCCAAATACATTCCTCAAAATTTGCGTCAGCGACTTCAGGGCACCTGCGACGGGTTTCTGGGTATCTCATTTCAATTTTAAATAGCGCACTCTGGAGTTAGTGTGCGAGGCTCTAGTAACGTAATAGAAATATAATCACAAAAAATGTAATCAGCTTGGATGTAATAGGTGAAAAAGGTACAGAGCTTCAAGCAGCTTTTTTTGTCGATTACATTTCGGTGTAGACCAACAAAAACCGAGACGACCAAGACGCGCAGCACTAGCTAGAGAATTTTTTATTGTTGCAACTCGCACCAGTTACGAAAATCTGAATGACCCGCACATCTAGAATGCTCCAGGCAAAAATATTAATGGAAATCAGGCTGGAAAGCATTACAAGTTGTCACAGGCACTTATTTAGCCAGTCTGCCTGTGAACGTCGATTTCGTCACTATCCTTGCCCTCGACTAGCATCGTAATCACAAAGTCACTAAACGCTTGTGCTTGATTGAGAGGCACTGCATTCGGTGCAGAACGTAGTTTTCTTCCTGCTCTGGACAGTGCCTTTAAAATAAAGCCGGAGGAGAAAAAAAGCCCCATGGCCGAATAAAGGATGGAGACTATATCTTACAACCACATGCATAAAAACCAGATGTATTTTCGCCCACAAAATTGTATTTAATTACAACTGTATTTGAAATACCCACGTTTTAGTATTTAAATACACACGTCAGATACATTACCCAATTTGTAATTAAATACAAATACAAAATACACAAAGTATTTGAAATACATATTTCAAATACTTGTATATAAAATACTGCCCATCCCTGCTATGAAGTTATAGTCACTAACAGAAGCATAGGGACATGGCGACTCCCGAACAACTTATCGCTCCGCAGCTTGCGGCATCAGGCAATAAGGAAGCCGAAAAAATTAATCCCCAAGTAATAAGAGGTCGCACAAGCTTGCCTGTGTTGGCCTAGACGTCGTCACCCAAAGAGTACACTCTCTGGCTGCATTCAGGCGACAAAAAAGAAAAAAAGAAAAAAAAAAAGAAAGTCGACGTTAGTAATGAGCTGTTTGTAGCAGTAATAGAACCCTAGAGGACGCAGAAGCTCCAGCAAAGAGTGCCTTGCCAAATGATTATCGCATTTCGACGTCAATGCGGTCATAATCGCGAAGCAACGCACACAGCATCTGCTGACGTCATTTCGACGAAAAGGAAAGATACAAATAAACAAATAGCTCCTCGAGAGATAAAACATTAAATAAAAAAAAAGGGGGGGGGGGGGTGGGGGGGGGGGGGGGAAAGACGAACTTTCGCCAAGTGTGCGGTTTTAATTAATCCTTGCTTCAAGGAGCACTGGGCCAAATCGAGTTGAGGCTGGACACACGCACTTCCCCAATGGATGTTTATAAATGGGAACTATTGACCCAGAGCGGAGGAGGGCACGGTTCAATGAAGGTTAAGTCCCGAGCACGCAAGCCCAAGGTTTTGCGCGCGCGGTTACGATTGCAATGGGTGGGAGGCGGCGAAGGGAAAGTCAGGCGAATTTCAAGAAAACGCCGAATGCCGTTTTATTCGCGGTAATCGTGCGTTCTCTGTTGGTTTAAACAGCGGGGAGTTCGATACGCCCAGTGTGGGCGCCTGTCACTCTCCGCCGTAGATGAAAAATTTAGCCAACGCTGGGGTAGGGATTCCAGCCAGGATCCCTGGGCTTACTTGTGGTGTGGTTGCTTTTCTTTACTGGGGCTATCGGTTCCCGTGATAACGCACGAGAATGTACAGGGTGTCCACCAAAACAACTTTACAAGGTTGTGGCACCGCAAAAATAAACTGGGCATCGCAGAACGCCGCATTTTCCGCCCAAAGTCGGCGCTAGAGGTCCGAACCATGATGCCCAAAGTTTGAGCCTGAACCGATATCTTATTTAAAAGTTACGAGTAATTTTCTGAAAATTTCAATGGTAAAAGGGAGCTCATTTCTGCCCGTTTTCGGTTTCTGGCGCTGAGTTTCATGCATTCGAGAGCAACGTCGGTCGCCATTTTCCCATCGAAATTTGCAGAAAATCACGTATAACTTTTGAATAACATAAAGATGGTTCAAGCTGAAACTTTGGAATCTGGTTCGAACCTCTAGCGCTACCTTTGGGCGGAGAATGAGCATTCGGTGATACGTAGTTTACTTTTGCGGTGCAAAAAAAGAAACCTTGTAAATTTTCCGGGGATACACCCCATCGGCGCAGACAGGCAAAAATATACGTCATTACATCCAGTCTCTGACGTGACTGGAATGTCAAGCTCCGCTCAAACACACAAGTTAAAAAACAACGTTTTTTTGTTATTATTTGGCACTGAAGCGCTTTGCTTTCTCAATCAAGACGGATTCATACAAACAGCTGACATTTCTAAAACTAAACGTCACATCGCAAAGCGGTAACACACCCACTTAACAATTATACGGAGAAATTGGTGCCTGTCTTTCTTTTACTGTTTTTTCTTCTTTGGTTGCTTCAAGCAATTCAACCCAGCTTCGGGTGTTTTAACAAAACGGCAAACAAAATCTCGCGGAGCAGCTAGGATTCAAGAATCCAAAACCGAAAGAGCATTAAAAGAAAAGACATTTTCTTTGCGTCATGGAGTGGAAAGACAACAATAATTCTGGGTGCTCATAGGCACGCATCTCACTGTTGCACAAGCGAGCGCGCAATTAGGGTAACACGCTGGGAAACTTACCGTTGCTCCAGGGATTGGGCGCTTCGACGTAGCCGGTCACGATACGATCGTCGGTCGGAAAGTTGACGCGATGTCCCTTGCTGCGGCGTTTGAGCGCCGAGACGCTTCCGCCGCCATGCGAGGTTACCTTGGCTGTCTCCGTCGGCGTCGTCGGAGCCGACGAGGACTTCTCGTAGCCCGACAGGGCCCTTGTGTCGTGCGAAGCGCTGTCCATGCTCGCGAAGAACACGCTCATGATGGCAACGCGACGGCAGCGATGTCAGATGTTGCTGGGCATCGCAAGCTACTGTTACCCCACGCACAAAAAACCCCACACACAAACACACACACTCCACGAGGCGGGGTGTATGTTCCGCTGAACTTGGCAGTGATCAATTCGTAGCGGAGGTCGCACGGGTGTGTATATAAAAAGAAGCAGTCGCTTTCCCGCCGCCACTAGCGCAGCACGACGGAACGGTGGTCTAGTCGTTCGCGTGTTGGTAAACTGATTTGCGTTCTTGGAGCGCGTCGACTCGGACGAGTCGCTCGCTGCTGCCGCGGTATCGACGGGCGGAGGCGAGGGGGTTTGCGTTAGCCGCTTTCGCGGCGTTGCATGGCTGCGCCATCTATGTAGGAGGAGCGGAACTTTTGCTCCCGTTGCGGGCAGTTTTTTGCGTGTTGTGCTGTCCGCTGCGTTCTTTCACCGTTTTGTTTTACTGTCTGCGCCTTGAGGGGGTTCATCCATAGGGTTCATCTGAGTGAGCCATTTCACAAGAGGATTCTGCGAAAAGGAACTAAATTAGCACTCCGATCTAAATACCGGGTTAACTTGTACCGGTCTTCAAAAGGAGTGCCCGCTCGAAGCTGTGAAACAAACGTTGAGTGAAATAAAGAATTGAAACTAGTCTTCAATCGGAGATCCGGTAATCTGGCAGTCATATTTTAATCGAACGTGTATCTATGAGATTAACTGAAGGTATAAAGCTTACCTTTCCGGCCTTCAGTTTTTCCGTACCACGAACGCCATGCCGACAAACGCACCTTTTCCATGGAAAACTGATCGCTTACTGCATCCTATTTACAACACCGTACTTCCAAAATATCCGCAGAAGTTGGGATGGCCCAGACTAGGTAAACAACAGTAGCGCTATAACTCCTTTATTGATAAACTACGTATGGTACGACGTAAAACTTCCTCCTAATACAACACGCTCTGAATCAGTTCTTGCATAGGTTGACCAGCAACAGATCACGGCCCATGGCTAAAACAGAGTTCGTCGTGGCTAAAACAACTAGGAAACATAGGAAATAAGACGAACACCGTACTAAATGACGCACGTGCCGTCAAATTCGTTGTTTGGCGATGCTCAGCAACTCGGCACCGAACTCGAATGACGCTCCCCCGTCCAGAAACTCCTCGGAGAGTTCGCGGACGGTCATCGCCACGCGCCGACTCTTCACGTCTTCCCTAAGGATAGAATGGTGCCACTTGTACCGGGCGTCACTCCACAGCACCAGCATAGATCTACGAGGACACGGCACCTGAACGACACATAACCTGGGCGGCACCCGGGTTGAGATAGAGTCCTTGAACGCGTCCGACCACGAACCGCAATCGGGTCCGTGCTGCAACGGGGCCGCCGCCGCCAACCGCTCGACGTCGTCTGCGCCTCTGTCCCCAGACTCGATCAGATCTTCGTCGGTAAGCATCCAGTGTTCCTCGGGCCTGGACAGCGTAAGCACCGTGTCAGACAACAGATTGAACGTCACCAGACGCGGGCCCCAAAGCCACCAGTCGTCGTAGTGGGGGTCGATGCACGATCCGCGTTTCGGGTGGTAGTCCAAGTTGCACAGTTCGACCGCCTCAAAGTCCGATACGGTCTCGTTTTCGCGCATCTTCCCTTCGATTCGGGTATAGTAGGCGGGTAGGCCCCGAAACCCGTCCGATTTTACTTTCTTCTTCTTGAAATTCACCTTGGGTCCGTAGTCTTGCTTGAGCCTTCCGGATTGAGAGCCCGCCCAGTTGGCTGTGTCGATGTCGGTGGCTAGCCTGGTTTCTTCGTCGGGGGTGAGAAACTCCTCGTGAACTTCAAGACCTGGTACCCGCAGTGGTGGCACGCTGCCGCAAGGTTTGCCACCGCCGGCGTCCGTCGACAACCAGCCGGGCCAGCACAGACAGCATTTGGGGCAGAACACGAAAGGATGCCGCACTTTCTTTCTCGAAATGGCGTGCTTGCTCGGTGTCTTGACGGTTTCGCAGAACAGGCACGTTCTTACGCCCTTACAGTGACATTTTGGCTCCATGCGTGGGCGAAACGGGGTTAAACTTTGATCGAAACGTTACGCGACCAAATAAACCAGACAGCTCCCGTCGCTTCGGCGTGCATGCGGTATAGGGTGGCTAGAGAGCTCTAGCCACCATAATGCGGTACATGCGGAAAAATACCGGAAGCACCGCCATCTTGATTGTGTAAAAATATTCCGCTAGACGGCGAGAGCCACTTCCCGATTGGCATTTTCATTTCACGCTAGGCGGCAGCGTACAACTTCTGAATGCATGAAATCCGAAGTGCATGCGAGACTAGAAATAAAACAGCGCGGAGTAGGTAGACTGGCTTTGGGGGCACATTGCAAAACGCCGAACCAGGGAGTACAAGGAGACATGGGATGGGCATCATTTGAGAGCAGGGAAGCGGTGAGCAAGGTAGAATTTGAGGATAGGTTGAGGCAAATGGACGGGGAGCAATGGGCACGAAAGGTTTTCAGCTATTTATACATGAGGAGTGTAGACACAAAGTGGAGACAGCGCACTAGGAAATTAAGAGGAAAGTTTTTGGGCTATAGCGAAGATACGGAAGAGCAAGTCTCAGTTAAGAAGAAAGTTAAGGCCACAGAAAGAGATTGGTGGCTAGAGGGAATGCAGACAAAGACGGCTCTGGAAAGCTATAGATTAAACAAAAGAGTTATTGCCAAAGAAAGCATTTATGACAATTCTAGGGGAAGCTCATTGCTGTTTGAGGCAAGAACGGGTGTTCTGCGAACCAGAACATACAGAGTGAAGTACCAGGAAATTGATACAGTGTGCACTGCTTGTGGAGAGGAGGACGAGACGGCTGAGCACTTGATACTCTACTGTAAAGGGCTTCACCCTATGCCTACCGAAGACAACATAGATTTAATAAAGTCATTGGGTTTTAGAGACAGCGAAGGGAGAGTGGATTTCAAGACTGTAGAGATTACCAAGCAAAGATTAAGTGAATGGTGGCAGAAATCGAGAGAAAACTAGGTATTTTCTTATCCACTGATGGCAAGGGGGTTTCATAGCCTCACTTTCTTTGCACTGCGGAGTGAATATAGATTTCACAATTAAATATTCTAAGCTTAAATGGTAAAACAAAATGGCTAGGTGGCGTAAGCTACCGCCCGATCCAAAGGGCTCAGCCGTATTCATCCATCCATCCATCCATCCATGCAGTCTGAATGGCATCCGCTAGGCGGCGCAAGACGCCACCCTATTAAAAGGATTCAGCAATATGCATGCATCTATGCACTGCAGTAAGCAGAAAGGTTTGTCCTGTCAACACAAAAATGAAATAAGCTGCCACATGATTCGATTCAAAGTGATTCAGTATCTGTTTAAAACGGTTCTGTTAAATTAGTATCTACCTTTCAAACGTCCCTACAGTAAAAAAAAAAAAAGATTGTAAATGTTTAATGCGCCTTCAGGACTTGCAAAGGTTGTCATACAGTCACAATAAATATGTCCAAAAGGGAAAACAGGCAAAAACTTCCGAGAGTGGAACATTGTACGGCCTGCCGTTTGCCACTCCAGGAGGAAAGACTGACTATGGAAAGTAAGTTTAGGAAGTAACTTTGTACAAGGAAATGTACAAATAACATATTTGCTTTCCTCACTTCAAGTGCTTCTTGAGTCTCTTCTACGGGGCATCATTGCTCAAGTCGGTGTCATGTGATTTCATCTGAAGCAAACACCAAAAAGAGACACCCTACGAAGGAGCGACACTCTGGGCATTCCAACATTTGCGCCAGAAGAGGTGTCCCACAGTGCCGCACAAAGCTGGACATTTTGGAACGTTTCTACCAATGAAGACACGACACGGGCACCCTCTTCAATACGGTAGGTGCCCTACTCAAATAGAACTCGCCCTTGTTCCAACACGATTTATTCCCAATCAAAGTTCCACATTCCTTACACGAATATACCGTGCTAGAACCGGGACGCTAAGACTGCAATGGTATTTACAAGAAAATATATTGTGCGACATGGGAGGCCAGAAAGACACTGCACAAGAGACACCAAAATAATTAAAAGACTAAATCATAATTTAAACAAAGAGCAAAATATTCACACAAAATTCTGCAGGCTGAATGAAAGGTTTGGAAAAGAAACAAAACAACAACAACAATCGACTTCACTAGCAGTTTGGCCTCATCTCCAGCGAAGACAATATTGCTGACCCGAAGACAAGCTTCTCCGACATTTTAGACAAAGTGGTGAGTGCATGAGCACAGTCTGTGACCCTCACTCAAGCTGTGGTCACACTGATAATACATTATACAGATGACAGTCTTTAGACAATGTCTGAGGCAGTGTTTCTTTCTTGTATGATGATCCCGTCAAATTGATCATACAAAAACCACGCGCAGACGTGTTCAACGCATACGTATGAACGAAGCAAACTTGTTTTGAACGCGCTCGAGACGTGTCCTCGGGTGATTCTGTCACCGCATCCTATGTACAACGTATGCACAGCGTGACTGCAGCTGCAAGGTTGCACAAGCAGACAGGCACTCGTAGTTTTGGCCTCACTGTCACAGAGAGCTGCACCCGGGTACAGTGGGACCCGCTTCAAAACATTGACGCAAACAAAACGGACACAGAAATTTTCTGTGCAGTGCATTCTTAAAAACCGTGTAATCCGCTGTCTAAACGCATGTGTGACCCGTGCTAAAGGAGTGGAATGGCCAGATTGCCTGCACTCGACCCCAGAGAAAAAGGTTAAAAACTCCTTAGACAACCTTGCTAGCGACCATCAGAATGGCCGCAAGAACACAGATCAAAGGCAGGGAGGCAAAGATGCAATGTCCCTCAAGCTTACAAAAAAAAAGAAAAGGATACCGTTTTTTGAAGAAATCAAGTGCATCTTCGAAAACGCATGCAGCATCTCTTGGAATATAAACACACCAAATCAAATGCAAAGAGTGCTAATCTAAATCACTTTTCTGGAAGATGCGGCCATTGGGCATTCATTCATTTAGATGACGTCACTGCCACGCACGTGCAGAACACATGGCGACAATGGCCGCAAAACCGTTTTGCCACAAGTTTGTGTTGTACGAAAACCTGTGAAACTTTTGAGATGCCTTGCACAAAACATTATGAAAATGCCTTGAAATTCGACGGATGGCATACTTTAGCGGTTGACAATGAGACGCGTGACTAATACAAGAGAACACCCTCCCCCATACACCAAGGCAGAGCATGCAGTGGCAGTTAAACAGCATGATACTAAAGTGGGTATTTAATAGGGATGCTGATGATGGCTGATGGGTCCTGCTTGCTAGCGCTCTATGTACATCTGACCATGGCTGGCTGGCAGGATGTCAGAGGGTCCACGATGGATGAAGGATGTGTGAAGGAGTCTCATAAGAGCACTAAAACGAGAGGGAAAATGACTGTTAGGTTCGGCACAAATGATTGCCGTTCTTAACTAAAGCAAGACCCAAACCAAGGTTTAAGAAACACAAAATAACAATGGTATTTCAAGGCCAATCCATTACCTTGGACATGGGTAAATTTAGATTTGAGGGGAAAACTGCTCCTCTATAGTCTGTTGCAGGTCAAGAAAGGCAGGACAAAACCCTCCCCACAAAGCCTTCCACCCTCTCCAATTTAGCAGAATGAATACTGGAGAGGGGACAAGCGGAGAAGAGGGAACCACTAGTCATGGTGTGCAGTGAAGAAGGATACTGATTGAAGTGTTAACATTTCCTTTTGTTACCCAAAATAACCAGAATTTGCAAAGTGGGGATTTTCGCCAATGCAGTTCGGTCCCCGAGGCAGCACTAATGTCGAGCGTGACCGTGTTGGCAAACAGACAGCGCTGGCGAAAATGGTTGCAACTGGAATCCTAGATCAAAAAAACAAAGACAAGCATTTATAATATGCCTGGGCACCTTGAAGACACCACACCAGTAGCTGGTCGGCCACTAGTGATCAGCCACCACTGATCACGCCGACAAGACAGTTATCGAAACATTGGCTTTTGCCTTCTTTCAACCTTGGTTAGAGTATTGACTTTCCGCCTGTTTTTCTAGCAACCAGACACAATTCAACATTCTGCCTGGTTTTAGTAAGAGAACCTACAATAAGCCAAACTACAACCCAGTTAATAAGCTACTAATCCAGTTCAAAGTGAGCAACTTTTGTGTGCCTAAAAGGAATATTCGTGGCTTCAGGCGACCTTCTGGGCCAAATCAGAAACTCTGAAGGTGTGCCTTCTTTTCTGGATACCCCAAAGAGGAACTTTGTGACAAAGCAGGGTGTGGTGAAAGCTATGTTAATGTTTCTCTTCTTTGTCTGCACACCTGTAAAGGGTTTTCCTTCTGTAGCAGAGAGAAGACGCAAATAGTGTGACTACCGTAAAATTCCGAAAGATGCCCCCCCGCCCGCCCCCCCCCCCCTCCCCCCCCCCCGAAAGATAGCCCACCCCTATTTTTGGCTTGATTTGCTTTTTTTTTTTTAAACACCGAAAGATACTCGACTTTTAGTAATAGTAGTATTGGGGTCAATAATGACCTCGGCGTAAATGTGGCTAGTTAGCTATGGTGGAATATAAGCGAACATTGCTAGCTGGGAAGTAGTCATCTTTGCTTCGTTGCCCCTCGCCACCATAACAAGCTTGAAAGGAACATGACCTAAAAATAGTAATGTTTTAAGATTTTCTTCATTATACACCGAAAGTAAGGCCACTCCATATTTTCACCTGATTTCCCCCTGATGTTAGGTGGGTTGTCTCTCGGGATTTTACGGTACATAGCTGGCAACACCTCGCACGTCACAATGTGGTACCGAAACAGAGAAGGCATTTAAGTGATTCTTAGCTTCCATAGTGAATTTAGTAACACTTCCATTTTATAGCTATTTTATTTCGGAATTTTTCGACACGATTGGAACTTCATAGACTACATCACTGCAACAAAGCCGCGACACATTTAGTCCGCTAAACTGGCCTCCTAACGCTTTGTGCTAGCAATGTGCTCAAGGGTGTGTGGATCTGCATAACTCAGTCGTTATGCCCGACTCAAAACAAATGCTGCCACAAACTCGGAGTCTAACCTGCACAGCACACGAAAAGTTCCTTCAGACCAAGGACTTTGCAAACCCCTACTCAAGATTAAATAAATTAAGTGCGGAGAAACTGCGTGTTCAAGTGGAGACTGGATGGCATGAATGGTAGAGTGCATAATTTATTAGATTAGAAGAAAGACGCAGCGGTAAAGTGGCGTGCAGCCCCCCAAGTGCTGGCCACTCTTTGTTTACCCCGTGCGGGAGAGTGTTGGCAGGGCGACAACTCACCACATCGCGAAGGATAGTTATAAAAAGCACTGTCACTATGTCACCGCGGTTCTGTGTACGACAGTTTGCCAGAAGTGCATTTGTCTCAACTACAAGGATGACCACGCTTTAGGAGGCGGCTCGGCATTAATGGTGGTCACTGCGCTCGACGAGCAGCGTCGCTGTGCCCAATGCCTAACGGCTTCTGGGTGTCTCCTTGGTGCACAGTGCATTTTGTCTGCTTTTCTGTCATTCTCTCCTGCACTCTTTCTCTGGGGAAGCACAGAGCACGCTCGTTTCACTGAGCAGAGCGCCGCCGTACGTCTAAACACGTGACGTCCTCCCCCCGCCGCGAGTAACACAGATGCACATGAGGTGGACGCTCGTCCGACACCGGTGTCCAATCAGCGAGGAGACGAGCGCTGCGTCAGCGTTCGGCTGGCAGTCGGCTTACCGACTTTTGTCCCTGGTTGGGGAATGAAAATGGTTAGGTGCCAGCCACATAACAGATTCCTCGTTAAAACACAACAAACCGGCAATTGCTTGTTCGAGCTAGCAGTGTTGCACAGTGTGCTAAATGTGAACCGGTTTTTCTGCAATTCCAACTGCACGTCTTCCCACATCGACCGCTCTGTATCCCGCTGTGGAGACTAGGCGGCGCCACCTCTTGCCACACACAGGAACTTGGTGCCATTCCGATTCACCCTTCCGCCGCCAGAGGGTGTTGACCAGCTTAAAGCTATTCAAGCAAGGTAAGAAATGAAGCAGTGTGGGGCAGGTAACCTAGCCCCGGGGGAACATGACGGAACGAAAGCAAGGTTAAATTTTAGTAATGACAAAGGGATTACTTTTATTCTAAGACCCTAGTACATTCTAAATTTACCCTAGTACATTCTGAATGCTCGTGTCTAATCTTCACGCCGCACAAAATAAGGTTTTGCAATTTATTTTTTTTTGCGTCCATCATCATACACCCAGTGTCTTATCCCATCAAAGCTTATACATCTCTTCCTCTTATTTCGATCCTACGCAAAATTTCTCATTTATGTCTTTTTCATAAAATTTATGACTCCGACCCTGCTCTAAAAGATGAGCTTCTCCTTCCTTCTTCGAATTACTTCCCTCGCGTTGACCACCGATTGAAAGTCGCAATTCGTTCCCGTCGCACCAGTGCCCACATCGACTGCTTCGTTCCCAAGACATCATCTGAATGGAACTGCCTTCCCACATCTTTAATGTCGACATCGTCGGTTGGTTCATTTAAAATTGCGATAATCTATCATTTTTGTTAAAGAGACACTGAACCTAGAGGAAAACAAAATGTTTTTTCTATCTGGGTAGGACAGGCGTGTCTCAAAATACATGTTACTAGAAAAAAAAATTTTTTTTTTCAGCACAATATTTATGCATGCATGTATTTCTGGCGGCAATTGTTCTTTTTAACGAGTGTCTATAAAATAGACATGCCAATAAAGAAAAGAAGATAAAGAGAAAGATAATGAAAATAAAAAGAACCAGAAAGTCAGAGAAATGGTTCGTAGTCACTCTGAAGTATCACGAGTGGACTTTCCACCATGCCTCCAGCCTCCTCTTTGAGCACATCACGTGTTTGTTCTCTTCCGTAAAATTGAGGGCCTGCTCAATGCGGGTGCCGACGTCGGTGGCAGGTATGATTGCCGGACACTCAAGGAGCAAGTGTTGGATAGTTTCTTCTACCTCACCACACGCACTGCACACGGTTTCGGTCACATTCACATTGTACCGCCGCATGTAGACGCGGGTGCGTAAGGCACCATCGCGGGTCTCGGCAAGGAGTTGGCTGCCCAGTGTGTTTCCACACCAACAGACGGCAGCGATGTTGGCCTTGAAAGTCGCATAAAGGTGCATGGTGGAATGTTCTTCCACGTCGGCGGTGTTAATCTGTTCTGTCACTTTCGCAACCCAATCTTTGTTTGTAGAGGGCTCGTTGCTCATCGAGAAGGCACCATACTTTGTCCCGAGCCGATTGGTACGCCGCCTCCATGTTGTGTGTAAGTTCTTTAAATGAATGTATATAAAAACCCTTCGTGCAAAGCAATCTCCGTCCATAAGTTGCAGTCGGGCGTAATACTCCAGCTTGCTGCTGGTCTACCGTGCCTCAAACGAGGACCAGCCAAGGTCACCTTGGACAAGTTGATTAGGCACTCTCCCGTGACATCCCAGCGCCTGGCGCCGATCTCTCTTTGCCGTCGCTCAAGGTATTCCCTAATTTCGCTGGGGACACATGTAACAGCATTGACGAAGGTGAGGCCTGGTACAGTGACAGCTTTCCACAGTTCTTGGGTTATTAAATAGCGGTCGCAGCTCCACAGGCTCTTTCGACGAAGCACATTGCGCTTTCTCAGTGCCGATGTCTTAAGGTTTTGGTGGTGTTCTGCCAGACAATCTACTGAAGTAGTTAGTGTTACCCCGAGGTATATGTACTTGGTACTAACAGAGAGCACAGCGTTCTGAATGGTAAGGGATTCAAGGCCCTCCATGTCACCGGAGAAAAGGACAATAGCCGACTTTTTGGCATTGAACCGTAGTCGAAGTCGAGCCGCTTCTGTTTCACAGGCGATGAGCAGCACATTCATGTCTGACACGCTATCGGCCATAAGGACAATGTCATCTGCAAAAGCGAGTCCAAGAAGCCGCCAACTGACGACAACTCCATGCAGAGTGTGTTGCAGGGAAAAGCCAACGCCCGTGCGTTCTAGTGCTCTCTCTACATCGGATGTGTAGACCATGTAAAGAACAGGTAACAGCGGACAGACCCTGACACAGTCCTCTGCACACCAGAACGTCATTAGAGGCGACGCCGTTGAACGTTGCCATCATGTGATTGCCATCATATAGTCATTGTATTAAGCCTACCCAGGGTTCAGGCATGTTGAGCTGTTGAAGTTGTTTTAGCATCAAATAACGGGGGACACTGTCATTTGCCTTAGCAACGTCTAGAAAGCAACAGATGAGATTCCGCTTTTCCGCCCGCGAGATCTCTATGCATTGCGTCAGGATGAATACGTTGTCATCAAGCCGACGATCCTTTTGAAAACCGTTTAGTAGTTCCGTGAGAACACCAGTACTCTCGGCCCAATAGGATATGCGCAAATTGAGAATGTTTGCAAACGCCCTGTATGCAACAGCTGCGACCGTGAGAGGGCGATAGTCCCTCAATCGTTGTTTGTTGCCTGCTTTCTTGAGAATGAACATGACTCGACCACGTCTCCAATCACTGGGAACTGGTTCATCGCCGCGAACTATGCGACTAAATAGGTGCGCCATTCGATCTCGTGAATCTGATTTCAAGCGTTTCAACACCTCAGCCGATATTCCGTTCAAGCCCTGCGATGTATTCGCGTGTAATCTCGTGAGTGTGTGATCTATATGCACCCGCCCCACAGGGGTTACATATTCATCTGTAGAGGCCGCCGATGGAAATCTTCTTTAAGCCAGACTTGGTCATGTCTGTCTTCTGCAGGAATTTCCACATCAGAGCCAAACAGAAGGTAGAGTTGTTGCTCAAGCAGTTCTCCAACATTTTGAACTGGGCATCCACTGTCATAATCAAGGAGTTGAGGAGCACCGTCTTTGCCATCTAGAGATCTCATATATCTACAGAATTTTTCTACAGCTCCTTTTCCGCCATCTCTAATCTCCGCCGTGACCTTGTGTTTGTTTTTTTGCTTCCACAATGTCTTGCGTGATTGCGTTGTTCTTTCGGTACTTCTCCCATAGTCGTAAAGTAAAAGGATTCTTCCTAAAGGTCTTTAGCGCTTGTCTGTGTCGCCGGTTAGATTCCTGTCGTATTTGAATTGCTTGTTTAATTTCAACATCCCACCAAGGAACAAGGTTTCGTTTTCCTCCCCTGTTCTTTACGATGGAGTGTTTAGCAATGGCTATCCTAAGCTCGGTTGCAAAATCATCATAGCTGCGGGCTTGCGCACGTCGAGTACTCTCTTCAAACTTTTGGAGAACAGTATCTATGTCTTCTTCGCGCAGTGGGGTCGTAACCTTGCGCGCGTGCAATTCGGAGTTTTTTCAACAGTACCAAAGTGCAGGAAGGTGCTGTTGTGGTCGCTGCTGACACTGCACTCGCCCTCTTCACCCACAACCATTTTTTGAAGGTGCCTGCCAAGTCTGTTTGACGTGAGTGCATAATCTATGCAGGCCTGATGGTCTCGCACTGTCCATGTATATTGTCCCTCACACTCTTCCCTTAGGTTCAATACTTCCAGTTCGAGATCCTCTTGCAATGGTCTCATTACCCTGCCGTTGCAATCTTCCCGCATGTCTAATTCAACCAGATGTCCGTTAAAATCTCCCAATATAAGCACGAAGATGCCTCAATCCAATTTGTGGATATCTCGACGAACACACTCAAGGACGTTTCTATTTTCTTCGTGGCGGTTGCTTCCCACAGAAATGTAAATGATGCACACAGCTGCCAATACGTTGCCAATTTTTCCATGCACCCATAGGTGCTCCTGGCAATCTTCCGATGTTCGAAGCCATGTTTGTCCATTACTGGACCAAAGGGGTCCCCAATGCCTCCACCTCGCCGCTTTCCTTCAACCCTATTGCAGCCAGTCCAGCTGTTACAATTTTTTTTATTATTTATCTTGTTTATGTTACAATACAAATTTTTTAGATTTTCGGCTGAAACCGAAATTGTACCTCTGTGGGATGATGACGAGAGCATCTGTACCCAACTAATGTGCGCTCCGAGTTCGCTGGATCTCGGAGCGCACGATAGCCGGGTACAAAAACTTATCATCATTGTCCTACAGGAATACAATTTGTGTTTTGCCGGCAAATCGAAAAATTTGTATTGCAACATAAATATTTGACAAAATTTTTTTTTTTTTTAAACAATCATTTATCTTGATAGTTTCTGTACTAAACGGATAAAAAAATATATATATATCAGTGTGTCGAACCGAAAAAAATACGGGTTCGGTTACGGTTCAGGTTCAGGTAAATTAATTTTGTTCCGGTTCAGATCCGGTTCGATTAATTCGATCCGCAAACCGGTTCGTGAACCGGTTGGGGGCGCTGTACCGGTTCGCGAACCGGTTCGGAAATTATAAATGACAAATTGCAACATCAAAATAAATTACAAATAAAACATCTGAAATCAGCACATACGAAACGGGATGCATCGTAGTGTAAGGCTCAGGGATTTCTACCAGGAATGGTTTCTTTATGTGCACTCAAAGGTTACCTCACCGACGTTTACGCATTCGGACTTCATCTAATTGGGTCCGACGCAGTAGCTGTAAAATCTGCGACCTCTTTACAAACCCACTTACAAGTAGAACTCGCTAACTAGCCCGCCACCTCGGCGTGTAAGCAATTGAAGGAACAGTGGGGAGAAAATACAGCTTTCTTTATTTGAACTAGCCTTCGGTAACTCAAATTAGACCCTTAAAGAAGCTTTCATTAAACAAGATACGGAATATGAAAAACACTTCACCGAACGCAACGCCAGAAGGACGTAATAGGATAAATATTAAAATAGAAGAGTTCGCCGTCTCACAAATATGTTAGCTTCTAAGTGCCTATACAAAACCGGATGCATTATTATCAAACTCCACAGCCTTTTCTTTTCTCATTCCGATGGAAGCAAGCTTCAAAAACTCGCGCGTTCTAGAAACGTGTTATGAAATGAGCACACAGCAGCATTTAGGATTTACGAGATTGTAAAAAAATGAAATCCCGTGACGCAATTTTTTTTTTTTTTGCACAGCCTTTTCATTTTTTTTTTCCGTGCAAGCCGCGACCAGCGCAATACTGGTTCCTATGTCAAGATTCATGGATGCAGCGTTTATATTCCTAAGACTGAGTGGAGAAGAAAAATATGTAAGCGAGGTGTGTGTCAGTTGACGGCACTTAAAAAACAAATGGCATTGATAGCACATTCATTGTCAACAGCGCGTGGCCGAACAGTTTTGACATGAGCCGGTAACCGTTATTTTTTTTCCGGTTCAGTTCCGGTTCGGGTTCATCGCGATAACAATATAACGGTTCAGGTTCGGGTTCAGTTCCGGAAAAAATACCGGTTCGGTTCCGGTTTTCGGTTCCGTTCCGGTTCGACACCCTGATATATATATATATTTCCTAGGTTCAGCGTCTTTTTAAACCTTACTGCTTGTGTTCTTATTGGACTTTACAGGATGTAAACAGGTATTAAGCTAATCTATATCCTATAATCTTGTTTTTGTCTCTTGCCCCTCCCCTCTTTGATGCCTCTGGGCCCTCGGGGAAATATATATATATATATATATATATATATATATATATATATACATATATATAAATATGGAAATATATAAATTAGATAAACACGGAGAGGTACTCACGTTCGTTCTTCTGCCGCGCCGCCTTCAGCGCCTGGGAGAGACGAGGGAGAGCTGCATCAATGCAACGTTGCCGACTCCGTCACGGGGCACGCTCAAGCTTACCTTCCGGATCGCCGTCCAGTCTTCCAGAATTTCGTTCTCGCGCAGCATGTACACGATGTAGGGACTTGCTAGACGACACTGTCAAGGTTCATCGATACCTCGGCAAATTCATTCATGAACTCGCTCATTCACCTTCATTCACATTCACGGCGTGAATCTGAATGGCCCTGTATGAATTCTTGAAATTGAAAAAAATCATGATGTGATGGTGAATGACTTTGTGAATTTGAATGAATTCGTGATGGGATGGTGAATGACTTCGTGAATTTGAATGAATTCGTGATGTGATGGTAATTGAAGTCGTGATGTGATGGTGAATGACTTCGTGAATTTGAATGAATTCGTGATGTGATGGTGAATGAAATCGTGATGTGATGGTGAATGACTTCGTGAATTTGAATGAACTCATGATGAGTTGTGATTGTGAATGACTTCATGAAGTGAAGAATTCATTGTGATCTGAATGACTCAATGAACTCGTGACGTGATGGTGAATGGCTGGTGAACACAATGAATCTGTGATGTGAGTAGCTCGTGAACTTGATAAGTTTGTGATGGGAAGTAATACCGTAAACTTAATTCTTGACGTGATAGTGAGTACGGTTATGAATTCAGAACAAGTGGAAAACATGTTACGCAGGTGCTTGCTTGCTTGCTGGTCGTTTTCATCCTTCACCGCAAACGACAGGGGCCCATTTGACTTTAGCGGTTTTGGCATCAGCCTCGCTGCGTAGCCGTGCGCGCCTCAGCGCGGTGGCCCTTTGTCGAGTCAGGTCCTGGTTTTAAGTGGCTTACACAAAAAGGCGCCACAGTCTTATTCCGCAAGAACTGCGAACTCGTGAAGGGCTACCAGCCGTAAAGTCGAATTTAGTCAGGATGAACCTGAATGACTTCGTGAGTCATGCGCAATTCATGATGTGATGGTGAATTCAGATGACTTCGTGAAGTGATGGTGAATTCGGATTAATTCATGATGTGATGGTGAATTCCGATGAATTCACGATGGTGAATTGCAATGAATTTGGGGCGATGGTGAATGACTTTGTGAATTGGTGATGTGACGGTGAATGATTCCGTGAACTTGGAGGCGGCGGTGATGTGATGGGGAGGAATCCTTGGTGCGGTTGAACGACATGATGTGAAGGAGATGAATTCTCGGCGGAGTTTGAAAGCCGTGATGTGAAGGGGATGAAGTTTTGGCACGGTTGAACGCCGCGATGTGAAGGGCTATGAATTTGGGAGGTCGGAGTACCTTGTGACGTGAATGCGAATGAATTTGGAGACGTGATTTTGTTCGTAATGTGATGGTGAATGAAGGGGCTCTAAAATGCCGACCTATGGACCTCATCAACAAAACAAGATATACAGAAAAAAAAAGTTCCGGCCGAAGGTTTTGTTAAAGTCGCTAATAGGCTTTGCTTAGCATGGGTTCTCGAACAGTGTCCCCGGAATGTGGGAACCCAGGGGTCCCCTAGAGTACCTTCGTGGATTGCCCTAAGGTCCAAAAATTTAGTTGCCAGAGCGTCGGTGTGGTAGGAACCTCAGCGAAGCTTACGTAACAGAATAACATAGCCAGTGGTGAGGGACAATGGACAGATGGGTGCTAACAGCTGCATTGTTTATATTGGGCGGTAGGTTGCGCCACCTAGCCTAGAAGCTAAGAGTCAAAAGTACCTATGACTCCCCCTTTGCACTAAGTTGTCCTTACGACAAACACATGCAACCTGGAAATGTTTTCCCATACTTTCATTGAGCAAAGTGTGCTGCCAAACATGCCCCGCGAGTAGCGAAAAGGCTGCAGGTCTCTAGATGCCGTCAAGAGTAACCAAAGAGCAAAGGATATCTGAGACGGTGACCGGTTTTTTCCGCTTGTCCGAGGTCATGGGGTCGGTCTTGCGCCTATTCTTCTTGTGAGTGATCTGTTCTGTCCAGAGATCTGGAAGCAAGAAGAAATAATTGTGACAGGAGAGCCACCTTTGTATTTGCATCAATGTTAGCGATTGTCACAATTGTAAGCCGGAGAAGAAAAGAGAAGAAGATCAGAAGATGAACGAGCAATGTTGCGTGAAAAAGAAAGAAAGAGGTTGAGGGGAACGAGTATCGAAGGGATGAAAAAGTGCTGGTCCGGTGAACGACAGAGGCGACTTTGGCTATGCTCCGGAGGAAGCCCACCCAAGGCCCGCTCCCGGGAGTCGACCGTGAACCAACGAGGTGTCCTTCGTCAGAGCAGCAAGATGTTCTTCATCAGGGAGAGAAACATGCAAGTGCACACGAGCAGGGACACTTCAAGGTCTTGAGTGCCCGCAGCAGAGACTTGGTTCTAGGGGACTAAGACTACACTGTACTGTATGTTTGCTTATGCCTTTCGCTTTGTTTATTTATGTAAATATATGTATGTACAGTGGAATTTCGTAAGCTGTTCGTCCTGTTCTTCTGATTTCGGGGTCCACCATGGTTGAACGTGACAGGGATACAAACAGTGAATGGTAGACCCCAAACCATTCCCTCTAGCATGAGTTGTAACAATGGCGTTTTCTTATTGAGATTTGATGATTTCATGAGTGTCAACAGTCAAAAAAGTAAGACAACCGCAGTCTGTGTGGTCCATAAAAACAGCGATATTTGAGCAGAGTGCTGGACGGTCCCACGAAAAACGGGCATACTTCCCATTACATATCCTTTACACCCGCCAACATAAACCTCAATATTCTCTTGGTGCAAAGGTTTCCATAAGCGGCCAGGTTGTGAAAGAGCATAGTACAAGCAAAACCAAAGGAGTGTTCAGCGACATTCAATTCAAATTTGCATTTTTTAGGAGATTTTCTTGTCGACCGTACAACCATACAAAATGGTCAAAATTTGGGCGTCTCCTGGGTAATACAGGAGACTTGGCAGGTATGCTGCGGACGATTTCGCAACACGGTAAGTGGAGGCACCTGAGGTGATGTCGATGCTGTTGCGGTCTTCCTCCAGTCGTCTTATCTTCTCCTCGAGCTCGCTTCTGAGTGAGTCCCTGAGCAAGGCTTGTTCGCTCTGGAAAGACGAAAGACGCTTTAAAGGGACAATGAAGGCAATTTTGCACATCTTTTTGGCGATTGAACTGGGTTCCAGGCACGTCTTATGTCACGCTGCCCAAATTTCAGCCGAAACCGGCGCTTCTATGCCGCGCAAATCAATTAAACAGTCGCGGTAATAATCGTACCGGGATTGACTGGAGCGACGCCCCGAGAGTTGCGGGAGAAGCCAGGAGAAGAGGAGCTCACGTGACCGATGCGGGGCCAAGAAGCGCGACGTCACAAGAGACGCGTCAGCGATTGGTCGAAACGAGAAACGTGCCCTCGGTCACGTTTTGGTTTGCGATTTTTAGGAATACTGTTCCAATTTCCACTTGAATAACCATGAAAAGTATAAATCGGACCGAAAATGATTACTAAACCGTAAATAAAGCAGCATAATTGTTTTTTGCTTTGCTACGCTGGACGCGAAGCGGGCAACGAACAACTATGGGCAAACAAAATAAAATAAAAAAGAACACGGTACTGGAAGGATTCTGCAAAATTGTAGCTGTAGATGGCTGTTCCAACAGTCGACTGAAGACCAGTATTCGTTCGGGCAACGCTAGTTTTGTGTTCTTTGACGACGAAAAGAGGACGTCCGCAGAGAAACCGGATCCCGGAACGGCCGGATCGCTGCCGCTTTCCCCTCCGCGTCTCCCCCGCGTCCGTCCTTCGGCATGCGGGCCGCTGGTTGCCGGCTGGGCGGTCTCCGTCGGGTGATGGCAGAGGCCGCCACACACATACTCCCGTTCCGTTGGTGTTCGGTCACTGAACAGAAGCTCGAACTCGCTCGCGAAAGCGGCATTGCCGTAGATGTTGACAGATTCGGCGAAACGACCGCCCCACCGCGCTGCTATAACCCACCGTGGTAACCAGAGTCTCAATCTCCTAAATGCTACCGATACCGACTATTCACATCTGACGTCACCTCCGTTTTCGGAGGCCCAGAAAGGAGAACGGAGATAGTTCAGTTTCGGTTTCTTTACTTCTTTCGTAGGCACAAAAATACGCGTCACAAATGTCTACAAAAAATTGGGCAGCATGCTATGTTCCCAAGAAGCATAAAAACACCATTTAAAAAAATTAAATAAAATCGTCTTCATTGTCCCTTTAAAGGGATGCTGAACCAAAATTTGCAGCTTATTTATCTCAAAATACTGCCAATCCCATTGGGATTTTTGCAGGTATTGGGGAAATAGAAATATACATCAACAGGCAAATATCAAGAAAAAGAGAACAGCAAAATATTGCGTCATTCTTGTAACAGAAAAAAACATATCAATTCATAAATTGACAAAGTAATTGTTCTTCAACTGCATCAAGTAAACAATTCAACACTTGTACAACTAAAAAAGCGCGTATCTAAACTGTTCCAGTCGCTTATGGCTGAAGGCAAAAATGAGTATTTAAAACTGTTGTTATTGAAGGAATACTCAACGAGTGTGTCGCTATGTTTATGTCTAGTGGCTCTCGCTTCCGATCGCTTAACATACTTGTTTTTCTCTATTTTAGATCCATTGTTTAAAAGGAGAAACATAAATTTCAGTCGACTGACTCTTACACGATCAACAATAGGCGAGACTTACAAAACAAGGCCGGAGCGATAGGCGGGTTGCTACAAAACCCCAAAACATCACTCGTACAGCGATATCTCTAACGGATGGCCTTATTTTTGGAAAAGAAGTGCGCAACTGAACATGTCCGACGAGGCCGACGAGACATGTGACGTCACGATTCTCATTCTTTCTCCTCCTTGCTTCGTCCCCTTGAGCTGGTGAACCGAAACAAGGAGGAGAGAAGCGAAGCCGCTTCCCCTTATCTTGAACTGTGCCAGGAGAGTCGCAACGTCACATTCCTCGCTCGATCGCGCACTTCTTTACCAGAAATACAGCTGTCCGTTTGAAAGATTGATGTACGAGCCATGTTTTGAAGTTCGTAGCGCTTGTTTGACACTTGTGCCGCCTTATTTCGCAAAATCCAAGCTTCGGTTCAGCATCCTTTTAGCCGGGAGCTCAAATGTCGCAAGAAAAATATACTCTACTGACCCTCCTAGGAGCAGAGGCATCATTTCAAATAATCAACAAATCAATCAATCAATACACCGGTTGGAGTGCCAAGAAACAGCCTCGGGGTATCTATACTGATATGGTGCCCAGACAACTGTTTCGACTGACATTGAAAGAATCTACAAATCCCCTGAAAATATGGTATTGGAAGTCTTTCTGGCTCCCGTTCCAACCAGCAATCCAATTGAAGACCTTTTAAGCATTCAGGGGCGCTCAGGAGAGACAGTTTGTTGTGCAACGAGCGGTAGCATCTCCATTCTTGATCTTGATGAGTTTGTTATGGTCGCCGACGGCGTAAGATATGCAGGGCACGGCTTATTGCGTTCGCGCCTCTTGCTTCACGATCCGTCCTTCGGCGTTCCTATCGGCAAATACCGCAATCCCATTGGTTAAGGAGCGATGACGAGATGCTTCGGATTCACCGTGTCCCGCGTTTCTTAAAACCGTCGGCGACTATTCGCGACTCCGGCGACCTGTACAGGGTGTGCACACCGCTTCCGGCCGGCGTGACGGGGGAGAGAAATACTTCCAATCCTCCTATGTTTACCATATGTTTGAGAGGGTGCACGAAGACTCTTGGTTGACCGGCAATCGATTCCGCGAGAGCTATGCTCTAGAAATGCCCCAGTGCTGTGCTTTTAGTTGCCGACGCGCACTGGTACAAACAAAATGCCATGAGCAGAGTTATCTTCGTTATCTCGAGACGAGGGACGCCATTGACGCCACCGAGCCCGGGCGATTGCTGGACGTTGGCATTAGCAGACGGTGCTAGCCTGCTTCGATGTGCTGCCGGCAGATGGCACAACGCAATAAGCGGCAGAATGTAGCGCCGGCGCCGTGGCACCTCAACCAACCCTTTCCGTACGACGACAGGCCACTACGGCACGTACAAATGCAGTGTGCACTATGATACGGGAAAGAAACCTTGAATAACAAAGCAAGCAAATCGAAACACTAAAAAATTTTACAGAGACTCGCATCGCACTAAAGAAAGCGTAATAAAAACTTTAGAAGATTGTCCGCTAAAGCCAAGACCCTGCTCGGCGAGCTCTGCGGGGAAGCCCGGTGCGTATCTTCGGCGCCTGGGGGAGGTAGGTGCCTACTGCCGATGCCTCGCCGTTCACGAAGTAGTTGAACGCGTTTAGGGATTTGCAGGTTTGAAGTCCTTCACAGGTATATGAACCAGGCCAGTCGAATAGGTAGTCCTGAAGTTGATCCCGCAATACCTTCGGCAGATTTGTCATTTCCTTGAGAAACAAGTGCGTCTTCCTTTCACCCAATGGAACAGGAGGGGATATTATCCAGGAAAAGCAAATTTTGGGAGGTACCACAGTTAGTCCTCGCCGGTGAAACTTTTAAATTATGTGCTACTCACTAAGGGTCCCCAAAAACAAGCAAAAACAATTGCCAACTGGAAGTAACATACACCCCAGGAAGTTCGGCCATTATTTGTTTATGTTTACCTCCGCACACCCTGTATAGGGGTCTACACTGTCGTGCAAATATGGCAGTCTAAAGCAGGTTGTGCCGTGCCATGTGCCAGCCCAATGCACAGCGCTCGGGTTTTAGCAAGCCAGCACTGGACACAAAATGGTTTGCCCCAATTTTTATCCACTACGCCTCAAACACTAAAACATGCGGCGATGTGTTGGTGTAAACGAGCTTCCAGCGGCTAGACCTTTTTCAGAAAAGCAATGGAAGGACTGCAGTACGCATGAACGTTGATAAATGCACAATGTCTGGTTCACACGGTACAGTGGGTTGCATTCAGAGTCAGCTGGGCAACATGCTGATACGACAGTAATGACAAAGTCACCGGGACAACTGTTTCATTGTTTCATCGTGCCAACCGCCAACAACACGTAATCACAGAAGCCACAAGGAACGAGCAGAAATCGCTAAAGGACCTGTTCTGTTCACTTCAATGTCTTCCCCCTATAGTCCGTTGCAACCTAAGAACGAAGGGCGAGGGTAAGACAGGCCGGGGAGGAGGAAGCAGACGGAACGCTAAAAAGAGAAGAAGGTTTCCTCCTTTCTTCTCCAGCGTTCCGTCTGCTCCCTCCTCCCCGGCCCGTCTTACCCTTGCCCTTCGTTCTTAGGTTGCAACAGACTATAGGTGCCGTCCGTTTTGGTGGAGTCCTGAACAGTTGACAGCGGGAGGTCTCACCTGGAAATTCTGCAATGCTGCCGTCTCTTCGGCCTCATACTTCCTCCTGATGTTCTTCAATTTCATCTCTCGCAGAATTCCTGCAGCCAAAAAGTAAAGCGCAAGGTAGGAATTCGGGCAAAGCTCGGCTCAGGAGGATGCCCACGAGGGAACCACTGCCTGCGGCGTGACCGACGCTACACTGACACCAGTGTGCTCCAGTGCTCCGATTTCTTTTCAAACAGGTAACACAAATAACAAGGCGGTGTGTAAGTTTTTCTTTCTTTAGTATCTAACGGGAGCACACATAGTGCTTGCAAGCTGTCCAGACTGAAAAGCATTGAATGGAAATATTGAGGGCAAGAGGCTGTCGCTTTCCTCTCATTCAGTCTCATGTTGGCGCATCCCCTTCCGTGACATCCCTGTGGTGTCAGGAACCGGAAGTACTTTGCAGAGGTTTCGCATCGGATGATGAGCTCGCATCCTTCGACTTTAACTCCAAGAAACATTGGAGGTCCAAATCGAAAAAGCTGGAGCTCCGACAGCTATGGCCCACCACCATCAGAGCAGCCTACACTCAAAGCGATCATCTCGCCCGCACCGCATGTATGAAGCGTTCAATTTCTGATCTACAAATAACCCCAGCCCATCAAAACACAGGAACATGGCATGAATACAATGACTAATGTTTGCAAAAGAAGTAGCAAATAGCAGCACCTCCCGGGGCGCGCCTCGCTTCGCGTTTAGGCGGAAACTCCTAAAGGGCAACTCCACTCAATTCCAAAAAATTTAGGCTTACACGCGATTCCATTTCACAAAGCACTACTAAACAGCTCTACGTCTTCTGATTTGCGAAATGTGGAATAGCATTTGTGTAATCTTAATTTAAACATCAGCCGATACGGAAACCGAAACTTCGGTTGCATCAGGCAACATTGGTCTCGTGTTGTCAGAGTCATGGCCACGTCACGTCGAACCACGTGGTCTTGTGACGTTTGGGGGGGGCGAGGGACAGGACACGCGACGCGGCCAGGTCGCTTCGCATGGCGTGCACGGTGATGGCCCAGGGGAGAGGGGGAAGGGAAAAAGACAAAAGAGAAGAGGGGGAGCGGAGAAACAGACTGATAAGCGCGCAGGGCAGCGCAAACTAGCGCATCCGCGTTACGGTGACCATATGGACGCCGTTCAGCCAACACCAGGAGGAGAAACTCATGACGTCATCGTTCCATTTCGCTCCGAGAAGTAAAAACAAACAAAACGTGAGAATGACGTAGTCATGCCTCTGACGTAGTGGCTCAACGTTGGCCACTTCAACTCCGTCGCATTGACTGCACTGACAATTGCGTCTCACGTCGCACGCAAGAGTTGGCAGATTTTGGCGACTTGGCTCACTTGAAGGTTTGCTGGCCAGTTTATTAAATATATAGACGGAATTAGATCGTAATATTTGACATGGGGTCTTCCTATATGATACTGAAGAGGGCTACATAGTTTTCTAAATATCAAAAATGAACCGGAGTTGCCCCTTAAATGTGAATCGCCGTGACATATGCACAGTAGTGACCCTCAAAGGGTTAAGAATAGCGGGACAACCTCCTCGGTCATTCAGCTTTTGTCAGCTGGCTTGTAGCAGCTCCTTGTTATTACGTTTATTGCTACATTGTTAGCAGAATGCTTAGAACACGCGTTCGACCGGTGATAGTGTCCTTTCCTTCCTATGCATTAAAAGTGGCCCCAAAGTGGCAAGAAATGACGTCGCAAAAGCCGGAATGTCCTGCTGTTAGACGTCGCATTACTGGCCATTGGTGCTATAAGACCTGGCAGAGAGCACGAGCAAATGCAAGCGTCGCCATCGTTGCGGCGTCCCAACCCTTGGCTGCCAAAGCCTCCGTCGACTGCTAGACTAGGGAGCAACCTGCAGCAGAACAGGCGTCTGCCACCACCGCTGATGTGATGCAACCAGGACCACGGCCGGCGACTGAGTGATACAGTAGGCTCGCGATAATTCAAACTCGGATATTTCATACTTCCGGTTAATTCAAACAGATTTGAAAATTTTGGTTGTCCCGCTATGTTTTTAATGTATTTATAAGCCGCTTAATTCGAACGGCGTTTTCGCTTAATTCATACTTTTATGTTCTCGCGGCCCCGTTGAGTGCGCTTCTTTCCGAGCACCGGTGCACCGCAGAGAAGCAATACCCGCGGAGCTTGTTTTCGCGAGTGTTGCTTCTCCGCAGTGCACCGGTGCTCGGAAAGAAGCGCACTCAACGGGGCTCAAGCGGGCAGACATTAGCAGAAAACGGCGTTCACATTATGATCTTCAAGACTAGCAATGATGACCAAGACGACATCGAGGATGAGGAACAGCTCACTGGCATCATGCTTTCTGGCCTTGAAGCACATAATGTGAACGCCGAGCTGGCGAAATATGCTAGTCTTGACGACGTCTGTGTTTGTCGTGATGACTCATTAGAGGACATAAGGAAGTAATGCCAGCACAGTGCAGCAGTGAGAGTGAAGATGATGAAGAAAGGGATGACCCACTACTAACTGTCACAGCCTCAGAGACCTTTGAGCACATTGCTCAGCTCCGGAAGTTTCTGTCTGCGAAGGAAGAGCCCCGTAAAGAGCTACTTGCATTGGCTGGTATTGAAAATTTTGTTTTGAGATCTCATGTACTGACAATCGACAACTTTTTTGCCGGATGAATAAACTTAACGTCACAGTTCTTTCACCAATGTGTTATGCCTGTATTTGCCTATAATTAGGCCTATGTAGAGGAAACTGGCCAAAATCTGCTTTGTATGCGTAGCTATCCATGCAACAAATCATAATGTTGTCTAGTATCATATTTAGATGAATTTCTGATAATTCAAACTAAAATCTGTGGCTTCCTGGAGTTTGAATTAATGAGTCTACTGTATTTCGACGACGTCACGAGGCATCACCAAGTCAGAAACGCGTTCCGGGCGCCGTACTGTCATCGAGGTGAACCAAAGTGTGCCCGTCGGAGGTCGAGCGGAGACGCAGAAACAATAAATCACGGCGAGCAGGCGGCCCTGTACGAAGAGGTTTGTCCCGCCATTCTAAACCTGCGAGGCCATGGAACAACTTGATTCTTTTCAACGAGGCGGAGAGCGAATGAACAAAATGCAATGCACGAGCCATACCTGCGACTTCGATCCGAATACGCATGTTGTCCTGCAGGTCCTCCAGCGGCTGGAGGTACTCAGGAGCGCGACCCGCCCTGACCTCCTCGAGCTTGGCTTCGATCTGATGGGCCCGCTCAAAGTACAACCTGGAAGGGGCACGGTCGGTCGACATGACAAATCTGCCCCATCACGGCGTGTCGAAGAGACCCCCGTTCCGGCAACGATCGGTTGTCAGTGTTAGTTTGCATGTCAGTCTGAGTTACAAGGTACACCGCACGACACTGTTAGGGCAAGCAAATGGTTGCCTTTTTCGGTTTAGGATTAAACGACTGCCATTAAAAATAGCAGCGTGGCGGAGAGTCGCCGTTGAATGCAGTAACCTCAGCGGTAAATTTTGGTGGGACGTCAATGTTCTCTTTTGGTACAATATGAAATAGTGGCAGTGTCCTGTTTGCTCGAACAGTGTCATGCAGTGTACACAACGCAAATGTTGTGCTAACCCACATAGCCTTGTAGCACTGATGGCGGTTGGGCAGATCAGTGGGTTACAAGGAATAAAAAGACAATGTGAAAAATGCAGCGACCTCTAGAAGGACATAGCGCAGCATGCGTGTCCTTCTTACCACTGCTTCTTATTATTTGTACTTTATATAGACTTTCTCATCACAAGAGTAGAATGTCTATACACAGAGCAAGGATGTTGGCACGAACATGACAGCAGCATTTTTTCTGTGCATTTTATTCATATGAAGGGGAGAGGAAGGGGAGGGAGGGCAGCTGCGAATTGTAAGTATTATTACCTAAGTTATTACCTCAGGTACGTACATCCTACCAGATGAGCAGTTTTGATGATAGTGGCACAGCTGTAAAAAAAGCTGACAACTCCTTGTTTGTGCCACCTGTGTCCAGCTTTGTACATCACAATGTTCTAGAGGTCCATATTATCGTAGAAAAAAGATGCTCTAAGAGAAACGTGAGAAAAAATATTTGCTTTCTGCGTTTTGCCATCATATGCATCTCCACTGCCGCACACAAATAAAAAAACAAAGCTAACAGATGCACTCATGTCACGAGAACGACTCAAAAGTGCAAAAGTTCACAGAACATCAGCGGCGTGCCTTTGGCAAAAGAAGGTACGACTTCTTCATGGTAGAAGTTTTGTCACTACTAATTGAAACACGCGCAGCCAAGGTATCTCCAGTAACATGAACTGTTGTTCTATTACAGAAAAACAACTTTATAGCCAAAAGTCAATTAAGCAGTGAAATAAGTGATCGTTCATGGATGCCATCTGCGAAAACGAAAAGAACTAACACCAACAAAAAAGAAAAATATGTAAAATGTTTGTCACTAGAGTTGTTTGTGCTGGGCTAGACTGAAGCATCAGATTCTCTCCCTCTTGCATCACCAGCAGAAGTTTCAGTTTCAAGCTACATTTTTCATATTATGCACTGAGTATAGAAACATCTACCACCTGAACATTCTGGAGAGCAGTCAGGCAGCAAACTTAACAAGAAATAACTTCTGGAATTGTCAGTCCTCCTTTCCTCATGAGACGACCCTCATTTTTCTACTACAGGGTGATTCAAGGAGAGGCCAGGCTCTTTAAATCGACCACAAAATTCGGTTTCTTAACCTATCGCACTACGACTTTGTGCAGCGTTGCCCACAGATGGTGCATTTTTTTTTTGTAAAATTTGCAAAGAGCGAACTTACCTGAAGAAAAAGAAAAAAAAGGCTTAACTCCTATGGAAACTCAGCGAAGCCACCGGTCTTCAAACAACACGCCGCCGCTTCGCACGGAAGACAAGAGATGGCGCAAGCGGTCGCGATGCCAACTGCCGCCAACGAACGAGCATATGACGCCGAGAGCCGGCGTCTTTAGCAGACAAGGAACTGCAGTTCCTTGTTACCGCGCCTGTTTTTGTTTCTGCGACTGTCGCCGCCTGCAGAACGCGCGTCGCTTTTGAGTCGAAAATATTGTCTGCTAAAGACGCCGGCTCTCGGCGCCGTATGCTCGTTCGTTGCGCCAACTCTTGTCTCTTGTGCGAAACGGCGCCGTGTTGTTTGAAGACTGGTGGCGTCGCTGCATTTCCATAAGAGGTAAGCCCTTTTCTTCTTTTACTTTTTTTCTCAGGTAAGTTCGCTCTTTGCAAATTTTACAAAAAAAAATGCACCATCTATGGGCAACGCTGCACCAAGTCGTAGCGCAATAGGTTAAGACACCGAATTTTGCGGTCGATTTAAAGAGCCTGGCCTCTCCTTGAATCACCTGGTATATTGTGTTGCTGCATGCCTGGTAAGGGTGCCGAGGACTCATCAAGCTACATAAAAGCAGCTTTATTCCTCAAGTTCCCCCATCGGTACAGTCGAATCTTGTTAATTCAAACTCGAGGGGGACCGAAAGTTTGCCTGAATAAAGCAAAGTATGAATTACAAGGAGTTTCATCCCATAGAGACGCATAGGATGGGACCTGCATGTTAGTTGGAATTATCTGCAAGTTTGAATTAAGAAAAGTCAATAAAAAAAAAAAAAAAAAAGTTTCAAAACCATGTGTTTACACTCACTTCTCTTTGAGGTGCATGAACTGCCTTTCGAGGTCGGCCATGTCATCGATGCACTCTGTCCGCCGCCTCTCACAGTCCTCCTCATCCATTTCTGAAAGGATCCCATTCATGAATCACTCATTTGTTCACTTTTGCGTGGCCAACCTGACGTAGTCATGCTGGTATGTAACAGTGCTTTCAAAGAAGTGCATGTTTATTGGAATGAAGTAACCACTGTAGAGGGAAGCACGCAACACAGGCTCAGGAGAAGTGCACAAAGGTTGGTGAACTAAACACATTCTTGAATACTCCCTTTAAAACTCACTCGTTCCCAGACTGCTAAAAGCGATAGAAAATTCTGAAATATTGTTACACGATTGCCAAGGCTATAGAGTGCAACCCACTTATAAGGATAATGAGGAAACCCAAAATTTCAATCGTTATAATTGATTATCATTGTATCTAGACTAAAAACGGATCATTTTCAGTCTAGAAACTCTAGAAACTAATCGTTATAAGCAGTACATCGTTATATGTGGCATCGTTGTAAGTGGGCACTGTAGAGCAATGTTTAGGACCCTTTGGAGTTGGACACATTGTGAAACAAAGATCGGTTAAGACAAGGCAAATGCTGACCTGTGTTTGAGACAGTAGTTGCATTCGTTACCCTTCTACCATCACGGGTTCTCTCTAAGGTATTTAATAGCAACAACATCCATTAATTACAGTAATAAATGAAGCTAAAACTGATGGGCAACAAAACGCGTCAGCACATGAAGCAATTTTTTACGGTCAAGATCAAAGAAGAAATGCTACAGAAATTAGTACGCCCATCCACACAAAAAGAAGACAGTTTTCAGAAACTCGCTAATTTATATTGTAGTACTTTAATAGAACTCACACTACACTGTTCCAAAGTGTAACATCAAATTTTGTACACAGACACTTCTGTAAGTGACTGACACTTAGACCTCAGTCAACCTTAACCATTAACCAGGGTTAATCTTATTGAAAAGGTGACTACAGGTGTTCCCGAACCCGTCCCTAGATCGATCTACGCTATCATCAGTCCCATTTGGTTGGATACTCGTCTCTGTGACAATTCAATTTCACCATGAAAATGAATAAAGCTACAAGGGAACGAATGAGCCAAGCTCAAACGCTCGAATACCGTCTTCGTAGACATTCGGGTCCATGTTTAATTTAGAGCGCAGGGTCAGATTCCACGTCCGTTCTGAAAAGCGCGCTAAATTGCACTTGCCGTATGCAACATTTTCGAACACTGCTCAACGGCGCTATCTCGACAATCTCATGATCGCAAGATCCGTGGCCTTTCGTGCCGCTAATGGAAATCAGTAACCCGGTCAAAACAATAACAACAACAACAGAAACGTTGCCGTGTTGACAGACTAAAAGACAACACAGCACCAGCTGATGAAGAGGAAAAACGAGTCCTACGAAGACACGTTCGGTTTTTTTCTTTCCCCTCTTTCTGTTCGCGAACGCTGTTTTGTTGAGGGAGTTCGATGGGCAACGTACCTGAACTGTCTTCATCTTCGGATCCCGACGACGAGTCGGAGTCATCATTGCTCGTTTTCTCGCTTTCGGGCGTTTCCTGGTCCATTTCTTCGCCGTCACTATCGTTGCATTCTTTCACGCTGGGCATCGCAACGTTCGACGACCTCACACACAGTCGATGCTTCTAAGCCGCGGCGTTGTTCAACCTCTGGTTCTGGACGCAGGTCTTCATAGCAAGTATCCAACGCTTTTGTGTCTCCTGTAAAGGCAGATCGGCGCTTTCTGTGTCGAGTACAAACACCGCAAATCGTCTCAAAAATCCCCCCCAACCAACTTGGAGCCGCGGCAACACAAACAACACAGTTCACCGGAAAAGCGGTAGCCGCGAATTCGACGCCGGCGCCCTCTACTTGGTACTTACAACGGCCGTTACTTCCGTACATGGCGCGCCGCGCGCCCGCAAAATGATGCGTTCGATTGTTACACGTATGGCAGTAGGTGCACGAGCTGTTTGAAAAGCAAATCGTTTTGTTTATGTTCGATCAGTATTAGTGACGTCAGAACACTTCTATCGTGCCAAGTACGGATGCCTTGTCCCGACGAACGGAAGGCGATCTCGCAGAAAGCATGGTGTTTGGTGTTTGCGTAGGTTCGAATCGCTTGATGAACGTGAACTTCCGACGCTTCTGACCACTTGATTTTATGTGACCGAAACAGGTAATATATTTTACCATCAAGGTGGGGGTAGAAGCTGCTTTAAGCTTCTGAATCGCAAGGTTCTAGCCTCGCGATTCAGAAACTATCTGTTTTTGCAGGCATGTCCTTGAATCGAGTGCATGATGCACTAGCTATGCTCACATTTAGAAAGATCGCAATGTTACTCTAGTCTCGGGTTCGACAATTGGCAAGACAGTGGTAATTTAATGATGTTTCGTCCTACTGTGGCACAGCTAACTGGTCGGCCGTTTTTCTTGGTGACGGGCGCTCAGAGCAGTGTGGCCGATTTACTACTTCTCGATGAAAAATATAGGTAGCTCCTATTCTCCCGGCAGCGGGGAGAATAATTTCCCCGAAATTCTACCGGCACGTGCCTGCATCGACAACTCAGATTATTTTATTTTTCTCTAATAAGCCACCCCAGACTATCGCCTCGAAGCGGCGTGGCCCGCTTCAGACGGAGCAATTTCACCCAGCAACTTGACGTCGCAACACCAGCAACACGGGCCGCCCGCGTTCACACGCAGCAACCGAATTGCACCGACTTGCCATCATCATCATTAAATTTGATTTCTTTTTCACTATTTACACGCCCAGCTACGCGCTAAAAACGTGTTCTTATATTTTTGAACGGCTATGAGAATACTTAGGCCCGCTTCAGACGGTGCAACTTTTCCAGCAATTTTGAGGTTGCTGGCAGGTTGTTCCCTAGCTTTCCTTAGATCGACGCGAATTGCTGAGATCGGGTCCGGCTCGAACAAGCGAGCAACTCGGAGCAATTCGAAAACGATTGAAGCGACCGCAGCCAATCAGAAACGTGATATTTTCACGTGACACCGCTGTGGTGGTGATGATGACAGCTAAAGACTCAGTTCTGGTTTGAAATGGATCGTTTTCGGAAATAAACAGTTTCAGAAAAATTAATTAGTATTCTCAACGCTGTTCAAAGATATAAGTACGCGTTTTTAGCGCGTAGCTGGGCGTTAAATAGTGAAAGAAACGTCAGATTTAATGATGATGATGGCAAGTCGGAGCAATTCGGTTGCTGCGTGTGAACGCGGGCGGCCCGAGTTGCTGGTGTTGCGACGTCAAGTTGCTGGGTGAAATTGCTCCGTCTGAAGCGGGCCTTAGGCCCGCTTCAGACGGGGCAACTTTTCCAGCAATTTTGAGGTTGCTGGGGGTTTGTTCCCTAGCTTTCCCTAGATCGACACAAATTGCTGAGATCGGGTCCGGCTCGAACGAGCGAGCAACTCGGAGCAATTCGAAGACGTTTGAAACGGCTGCAGCCAATCAGGGATGCAATATTTTCACGTGACACCCCTGTGGTGGTGATGATGACAACTATAAACTTGGTTCTGGTTTGAAATGGATCGTTTTTGGAAATAAACCTTTCCAGAAAGATGAGTTAGTATTCTCAACACCATTAAAATATATAAAGACATGTTTTTAGCGCGTAGCTGTGCGTCTAAATATTGTAAGAAAAATCAAATTTCATGATGATGATGGCAAGTCGTAGCAATTCGGTTGCTGCGTGTGAACGCGGGCGGCCCGTGTTGCTGGAGTTGCGACGTCAAGTTGCTGGGCGAAATTGCCCTGTCTGAAGCGGGCTTTAGGCCCGCTTCAGACGGGGCAACTTTTCCAGCAATTTTGAGGTTGCTGGCGGGTTGTTCCCTAGCTTTCCCTAGATCGACGCGAATTGCTGAGATCGGGTCTGGCTCGAGCAAGCGAGCAACTCGGAGCAATTCGAAGACGGTTGAAGCGGCTGCAGCCAATCAAAGACGCAATATTTTCACGTGACACCCCTGTGGTGGTGATGATGACAGCTAAAGACTTAGTTCTGGTTTGAAATGGATCGTTTCGGAAATAAACAGTTTCAGAAGAATTAGTTAGTATTCTCAACGCCGTTCAAAGATATATGAACGCGTTTTTAGCGCGTAGCTGGGCGTCTAAATAGTGAAAGAAAAATCAAATTTAATGAGGATGATGGCAAGTCGGAGCAATTCGGTTGCTGCGTGTGAACGCTGGCGGCTCGTGTTGCTGGTGTTGCGACGTCAAGTTGCTGGGTGAAATTGCTCTGTCTGAAGCGGGCCTAACTGATTTTTCTGAAACTGTTTATTTCCAAAAACGATCCATTTCAAACCAGAACGAAGTCTTAAGCTGTCATCATCACCACCACAGGGTTGTCACGCGAAAATATCGCGTCTCTGATTGGCTGCAGCCGCTTCAAACGCCTTCGAATTGCTCCGAGTTGCTCGCTTGTTCGAGGCGGACCCGATCTCAGCAATTCACGTCGATCTAGGGAAAGTTAGGGAACAACCCGCCAACAACCGCAAAATTGCTGGAAAAGTTGCCCCGTCTGAGCGGGCCTTAGCATTTTGTAAGGCCCGCTTCAGGCGGGGCAACTTTTCCAGCAATTTTGAGGTTGCTGGCGGGTTGTTCCCTAGCTTTTCCTAGATCGACACGAATTGCTGAGATCGGGACCGGCTCGAAACGGACGAGCAACTCGAACAACCCGGAGACGTTTGAAGCGGCAGCAGCCAATCAGGGACGCAATATTTTCACGTGACACCTCTGTTGTGGTGATGATGACAGCTGAAGACTTTCTTCTGGTTTGAAATGAATTGTTTTTGGAAATAAACCTTTTCAGAAAGATGAGTTAGTATTCTCAACGCCATTCAAAGATATAAAAACACGTTTTTAGCACGTAACTGTGCGTCTAAATTGTGCAAGAAATATCAAATTGAATGATGATGATGGCAAGTCGTAGCGATTCGGTTGCTGTGTGTGAATGCGTGCGGCTCTTGTTGCTGGTGTTGCGACGCCAAGTTGCTGGGTGAAATAGCCCCGTCTGAAGCGGGCGAAATGAGCCATTCCCACAAACTGCTGCCACGATGCGGTGTAAGCTCAGCGCGGGAGGGTGGATTACCACGCGCCCCCGGTATGCGTCCCCATTAAAACGTCGCTGTTCGCTAAAATGTCATTCGCCGCAAAGTGGCGAATGAAGTTTTAGTGATTACGTCCATGAAATGGGTTTCCACGACATACCAGCAGAATAAGAAAGTCAGTATTCTACCGGTAGCTGTCATGTAACTTCAGACAGCCAATGGAAGGCGAATGCCGGTGGAATTTCGGGACATTATTCACCCAGATGCCGGGAGAATAAACATTGCCAAAAATGTAATTTACATCTTAAAGAACTAAGCTCGAAAATAACCGTTAATACCTAAACTCAACAAGGGGTGCTGACTGTATATCACAGATGACTTGCACACACGCAAAAGCAAATCATTGTTACGTTTAGACAGTGAGGGGTCTGTCTGCCTTCGTGATACGGCAGCACCGTTTCACACTGAAGATGATCAATTTAGCCAGTGCAGTATGCACTCTAACCTGAGGTATTTAACTCCCACCACACACGGCCGCTGGTTGGTACTAGGCTCAAGCAGATGGAAACAGCCAAGGACTATATGAAAATACATAATAAAAAACAAATGAAAAAAAAAAAAGTGTAACAACTCGTGAAGCATTTCAAGTGGGGTAAAAGCCCCCTAAATGCAGGTGTAAATTAGCAGCTGCTACAAAATTACCTTGTTTTTGGATATAGCCTTTGGTTTTCTAATGGCATATTTTTTTACATGAGACAGTTTTTGTTGTAATTTTTTTATTTATTTAAAACTGCTGTTTCTACTTTCTATTGTTCATAACTAATATGTGCTTTGCCTTTAAGTTATTCATTTTATAATTTTTCTTGTTGAATACAACTGTTGTGTATGCAGCAGATCATCGGGCAACTGAGCGATAGCAGCGCCATCTTCCAGTAGGCGAACGTGGAAGGACTCACTGTTTGCCATTTCCGTTTTTACCCCTTGGACTCTTTTATCCGGCCAAGGTCGGCCTTGTAAATAAACCTTTGTTATGCCTACCTAACATTTGGTGACGACGTCACGGACCAACGGTAAGCGATGTCGGCCGCATGAAGAAGCAAATGCAAGCGGCGAGACTCCACACGAGGCAACGAGGACGAGCGACTGTGTAGCGGCGGCGGCAGCGGGCAGAACGGATGGCTTCGGAAGCTAAACCTAGCGTTCCGAACGTCTTCATGGGTCGACTGGGCCACATGGAAGAGTTTTCGCCGGACCACCCGGAAGCCTGGCCTACGTTGAGGGAACGTCTGGAGTTCTACTTCGTGGCGAACGGCGTGGTCGAGGAGCAGCATCAGAGAGCAGTGCTGTGCAGCGTCTGCGATCCGGCTACGTACGCTATCCTTCGCTCGCTGTGTTCGCCAGCAGAGACGCTATATGCGAACATTGTTTCAAAGCTCACAAGCCACTTCACGCCAAGGCCTTGGGTAATCTTACAACGTTTCTCATTCCACAAACGAAGTCAGCAGCCTGGTGAAGGCATTGCAGAATTCATCGCGGACTTGCGCTGACTCTCCGAGCGCTGCGAGTTCGGCGTCTGCCTGGAAGACATGCTTCGCGATCGTCTCGTCTGCGGCGTTAGAAACGGGGCTGCAACGGCGGTTCCTGGCTGAAACTAGGTAGGACTTCAAGAAAGCATACGATAAGGCTGTCGCTGCCGAGTATGTCACGCGGCAAACGGAAAACATTAGAGGAGCGTTGCCTGCGGCGTCCGATTTACATCGGATGGGTCAAGTGCCCCAGGGTGCCAAGCCGGGCCGAAAACAAGAACCCTCAAGAGAGCCAAAAGCAACAAGAACAGGGCGGTGTTTCCGCTGCCACGGCGACCATGACGCTACAAGCTGTGGTTTCCGCAACGCAGAGTGTCATTTCTGCAAGTGGAAGGGGCACATTGTTCGAGCCTGCCGTCAAAAGAAAGAGGCAAGGAGCAGGGCCAAGAGCGACAACAAATGCCCAAGCAAGTTGGGACGCTCAGGAGTGTATGAACTTTACCACATCGCCAGTGGACTGCCAGCTTTCATGGCAACGGTCACTGTGAACGGAGAGCAGGTATCGATGGAAGTGGACTTTGGATCCGTCTGTTCCATTGTCAACCTGAGGACACTGAGCAAGCTGGGAATCTCGAGGAAGGCACTTCGACTGTGTTCCAGAGGAGTGCGGACCTACACACAGCAGCCTGTCCGGATCGTGGGTGAAGTGGAAGTTCTTGTCAAGTACAACGGTAGAAAGTGCAAGCTACCTCTACTCTTCACATAAGGGTCTGGAATCAGCATCCTGGGGAGAGACTGATTTCAACCGTTAGGCATATCCCTGGAAGGACTGCACCAGCTCAACAGAGCTCCAGTTTCCAAAAGTTCCAGCGGAGAAGGCCAGCCAGCTGTACGAAACCAATGCAAGGTGGTGACGAGTGTCAAAACTCTGCTGGAGGACTACCCAAATGTGTTCAAGCCTGGGTTAGGCAAGAGCACAGGTCCTCCGGTGCGGATTGAATTGGAGGAGCAAGCCACACCCAAGTTCCACAAGTCACGGCAAGTACCTTTCGCTCTCCTGCCGAAAGTGGACGAAGTCATCGAGAAGTTTGTAGAGCAAGGGATTTATGTCCCTGTCGAGCATTCTTGTTGGGCGACGCCTATTGTTCCGATTCTAAAGAAGAACGGAAAGATGAGGATTTGCAGAGACTACAAGGGAACGCTCAACCCAGTCGTCAAGTGGGAGACTTACCCACTACCCACTCCAGAGCAACTGCTCGCAAGACTGGGAGGTTGCTCGGTGTTTTCCCGGCTTGACTTAGATCAAGCTTACCAACAACTCTGTGTCGACGAGGACACCGCCATGCTGCAGACCGTGACAACACACAAGGGCCTGTTCAACGTGACACGATTGCAGTTTGGTGTGGCCGTGGCAGTAGCCATCTTCCAACGTTACATGGAAGGAGTACTGAACGGACTTGAAGGAGTTCAGGGTTTTCTGGATGACATCCTTATTGGTGGAAGAACAGTTGCCGAGCATGACGAACGGTTGCGTAAGGTGCTGCAGCGTATCCAAGACGATGGGCTTCGTCTGAATGCCTACAAGTGTGAATTCAGGGACAAGGAAGTGGCATACCTGGAATACCGTATCAAGGACGGAGTAAGCCCTTTGGGTGAAAAAGTTGAAGTCCTCAAGCAAGCTCCGGAACAAACGAACAAGAAGGAGCTACAGTCGTTCTTGGGAGCCTTAAATTTCTATGGCCGTTTCCTGAAAGGAGCTTCACATGTGTTGGAGCCACCTTACCGCCTCCTGGACAAGGACAAGGCAAGGATTTGGACAAAGACCGAAGCAAAGGCGTACCAGAGTGCCAAGAGCCTGCTGAAATCATCAGCCGTCCTAGCACACTATGATGTGTCACGTCCCATAGGGCTGGCCTGCAACGCGTCTTCGTGCGGGCTGGGTGCTCTACTGAGCCAAGTGGGAGAAGACGGCGTCGAAAGACCAGTGGCCTTTGCCTCGAGAACTTTGTCAAAAGCAGAACGTAACTACGTGCAGATAGATAGGGAGGCTCTGGCTTTGCTATTTGGTGCTCGGAAATTCCACCAGTACGTTTTTAGTCGGGAGTTTCAACTCTTGACAGACCATAAGCCGTTGCTGGGCCTCTTGCACCAAGCCAGGCCTGTTCCTGCCGTGTTGTCACCTCGGATGTTGCGCTGGAGTCTGCAACTTTCTGCATACAACTATGAACTGTTGTACATACTTGGCCCCAAGCTGCCACGTGCCGACGTTTTCAGTTGTCTTCCGCTTCCTGTTAAGAATGAGCAAGAGCCACCGTTGGGAGACATCTTGCTGCTTGAGACAGCACCGGAGGTCCCTCTAGATTCTACCAAGATTGCAGCATTAACACGGACTGACCCGGTTCTGTCGCATGTGCACCGCTGGATTTTGCAAGGCTGGCCTTCAGGGAAGCTGCCAGAGGAATTCTGCCCCTTTGTGGCCAGGAAGAACGAACTGTCCAGCTACTGAAACTGTGTGATCTGGGGACCTCGTGTTGTGATTCCGGGTCCCGCACAGGCTCAAGTCCTTGACACCCTACACACCGCGCACCCTGGAGAAGTGCGGATGGAAGGTCTTGCACGCAGCAATGTAGTGGCCGGGCATCGACAGTCACATCGAACGCAAGGTAGCTGGCTGCCAAATGTGCCAAGAAACTCGACAAGCCCCCAGCAAGGCACCGGTGCACCCATGGAAGTTCACGAAGAACCCTTGGTCTCGTTTGCACATTGACTTTGCCGATCCCTTCAAAGGGAAAGTTTTTCTGCTGGTCGTCGATTCACATTCCGAGTAGTTGGAAGTTTTCTTGATGAAATCAACGTCGACCAGGGCAGTATTCAAGGAACTTCAGGCGATGTTTGCTCGCTTTGGCATTCCCAAAGTTTTAGTGTCACACAATGGAACTGCGTTTACCTCAGAAGAGTTTGCTGAGTTTGCAACCAAGAACCAGATCCGGCACGTTACAGTTGCACCCTATCACCTGTCCTCCAAAGGGCAGATTGAGAGGATGGTACAGGAAACAAAACAAGTGCTACGCAAGTTGTCTGAGGGAGACTGGGCAACAAACCTGTCTCGTTTCTTGTTGGGCCAGTACAACTACGGGGAAGAGCCTGGCTGAATTTCTGATGTGGAGACAACTGCGATTTGCCATAGATCGCCTGCATCCAGATTTTCATCTGGATGGATCATCTTTGGAGCGTTACTTCCGAGACGGCTCTTAACGAGTTGGGGAGTCCTGTCCCGGCGATGTGGTGTATGCACGGAACTATCAAGGTAGTACCAAGTGGGTTCCCGGGTTCATCGCTTCAGTCACAGGACCCCTATCGTACCAAGTTCGTCTGTCCGACGGTCGCGTTTGGCGAAGGCACGTTGATCAACTCCGCAACCATGCCAGTCCACTAGACCTTGGTGGAGCTGCCAGTGACACTTGTGACACGACCGATGGTGATCACCCCTCTGTGGTTGGCCAGGACCCACCTCTGCCAGGGGTGAGTGAAAATTCTCCAAGAACAAGTCTATTGGCCAGCCCCACCACCTCCCCGCCTAGACCCGACGGTTCTAACCTGCCTGGAAGCCTTTCACAGGAGCAGAGCTCTCCCAGCCAACCTGCAACAACAGGAGCTTCTAGGTACCCTCAACGTGAGAGAAGACTCCCATGGCGTTACCAGGACTATGTCCCGTAGGGGGGAAGGGATGTTGTGTATGCAGCAGATCATCGGGCAACTCTGAGCGATAGCGGCGCCATCTTCCACTAGGCGGACGTGGAAGGACTCACTGTTCGCCATTTCCGTTTCTACCCCTTCGACTGTTGTGCGCGGCCGAGGCCGGCCTTGTAAATAAACCCTTGTTATGAATACCTAACAACAACCCACTCCCCTCTGTAATGCCGTTGGCCCTGTGGGTATTGAAATAAATAAATAAATTCATGTTCTAACCAGCTGCAGTTAGCTAATGAAGCTAATCGGCTCGCCACTCAGGCCTACAAATTTGCCAAATGTTGGGAATATGCTGCTCCTCTTCGAACGATCAGCACCACTTTAGATCTGCATCGTAACCGGAGCATGAAATTATCCAACAAGCACCGGGTCTCACATTCAGTTCTCATTGCTGTTCATTCTTACAGGGCCACTGTAACCAAGTCGCAGTCCAGTCTGCAGCATGTTCGCCCTCTGCCGGCAAGCCCTGCGCAGTGTCGTCGCATCGCCCTCTACGCCGTCCCTCGCTAGCCAGTTCCTCAAAAGCGGCATCAGCACGACGCCCGCCGCACTCTGCCTCTTCAACCGGAACATGCCCGTGCCGCGGAAATGGCCGCTCCAGAACAAGAAGATCTACCCTCCGCAGGAACCGGAGGAAGAGCGGCGTCCCGCCTGGGTGTGCCACTACCGCAACCAGATACGCTACTCTCCCAAGAAGATGCTGGCTCTCACCCAGTTCATCCGTGGCATGAGCATAGACGAGGCCATCAAGCAGCTCTCGTTTGTCCAGAAGAAAGGGGCCAAAATCATGCTCGAGGTCCTCAAAGAGGCCCAGGAGTTGGCGGTGAAGCACCACAACGTGGAGTTCAAGTCTAACCTGTGGGTGGCCGAGTCGTTCACAGGGAAGGGGGTCTGCATCAAGGGGTTGAGGAGGCACGCGCGGGGGAGGATGGGGATGATCCGTTACCAGTACTCGCACTTCTTTGTGAGGCTCGTGGAGGGCGCCCCTCCGAAGCACTACTACGGTGCGCCCAAGACAGCAGAGCAGAAGCTGGAGGAGTATGTGCAGACGTTGAGGGATCGGAGGATTACGCACGGGATCTGAATTTCCGATCTGGTTGCTGTTTGTTCCTAGGGTTTGCAGAAATAAAATGTGCGAGACGAAAAGTGCATGTGGACATTGTGCTCTCGTCTTGAACGAAGCGGCGTTTTTCAGAGATTATTTCATTATTGGCGTACAGGATTATCAAATTAAAGCTCATCTAAAATTAATCAAGTAAAACCAGATTTATTTTTTTTTGCGACAGTGCACGTTATTTTAGGCAGAATCAGTTAAGACATCTATAGAATATGTCCACTTGTATTGCTGTATGAAAGGTAAGGGCACAGAAGGAACTTTGAAATCTGTGAATATGTCATGTTAATTTTGTCATTTTGCCACCCCACCTTCACTGCTATTTGTCACTAGAGAGTTTTAGTAGATCGTTCCCATGACTCCGATAACGATACCCGATACTCCGCCACCGCCTCTCTTGAGCATACATAGTATCGTTATCGGGGCTATCGGAGGTATCGGAACGATCTACTAAAACTCTCTGCTGTCTTAGAACAACTGGGTGCTCACCTGTGCTTTGACATAACAAATGACAAACATGCAAGTGGATGTGTACCATTCAGGTGACACTGCAGTTTCTGAGATGGCTCGCAGCCCCCTTTCTGACATAGGCGGTGACAGGCGAAAAGTTTGGGGGTCACCTACTCTAGCGTTCACTATTCCCTCGCATGGGGAAACAGTCTTGTGGTATATGCATCAGACCTGGATCTCCTGTCAAGCGAGATCAGTTGACAAATGTCGCCGGGCGAGTGCTTCAGTAGTGCTGGAACGGGGGAAGAGGAGGCTTTTGCACCCTTTAACTTTTTAAACCTGTCTATACTCGGTTCACCCACAAAAAGGGGCCCTGTAATCATATTTAATTAAGCGTCTACTTTACGGTTTCCACATCTCTTCGGGTTCGGGCAAGCCCGCGGGCACGGGGAGAGTAGCTACATATCAGTGCGTCATATTTTAACCGAATGACGCAGAAACTTCCTCCAGCTACGGGGTGCGACTCGCGGTGCTGAAAGCAGCGATATGTGACGACATCATGACGTTTTTGGTCCTGGGCTTACTACTAATCAGAGCCGCTAAAAGTTTTTTTTTTTTTTTTCGAAATACAAAATATAAGTGGCGCGAACCGCTTGAATTATTTATGAAAGTAGTTTTTGGTCAGTATTTTATATCAGAAAAGGAACAAATGCCGTTTATAAAGTACGGAAACAGAAAATGACCCGTCGACATACCCGCCACCAAGCGATGGAAAAGGCGGTGCATACTAGAAAGGGTTAGTGGGATAAGGCGCCGACACTAAAAGGTCCCGGATATACGCGGCAGCGCTGCGGTCGTGTGTGCTCGAGGATCCGGCCGGTTCCGAGCGTTCCCAAGGCCTTCGGCGAGCAGGTTTGGCTTGCGGTTTGGCCGTGTGGCGGTTTGGCAGCGCGAAGTGGCTCCCGTTCTGAACTGATCTTTACCCCGTGTTTGCTGTCGTTTTGTGGCCAATGAAGCGTCATGCCGAATTAGTGTTTAATCGCGCAGCAAATGCAATGCGAACCGCCCTGGCTATAGGTGGTATTCACTGAGCCTGCAGGTTCGATTTTGCCAGGGAGCGCCACCGTCGATCCGCCATCTTCGAGGTCTCGGTTTGACTGGCTTGGGTACGCTACGCGGTCGTCCGCTGCTAGTGTGTGCTAATTTCCTATCGTTGAAGCTTCGTTGAACAGAAGAGAGAAGAAAAGTTGGTCTCGGGGGCGGGCCGTTTTCCTTGTTGCCGCCAAGTACCGTGTGTAAAGGCTGAACAGCATGTAAGCAATTTGGTGAGCGACGGGACGAGACGAGCGACAGCGACGAGACAAGCGACGACGACCCGCTTCGCTGTCGCTCGGTCACTCGCGCGACGTGGCAAACCGCATGAAAGCGACGGGAGCATGCGACCAAGGCGATAAGCGACCCTTTCTAGAAATCCAAAAGCCAAGCGACGCGACGACCGACCGCGAGAAATCTCCGTCGCTCGTCGCCGACCCCCGTCGCTCGTCGCCGACTCCCGTCGCTGTCGCCATCGCTCGCTAAATCGCTTACATGCGGTTCACCCTTGACTGTCACTCGTCGCGTAGCTCGGTTTTGGGATTTCTAGAAAACTTAGCGCTCCTCGCCTTGGTCGTGTCCTCCCGTCGCTTTCATGCGGTTTGCCTCGTCGCGCGAGTGACCGAGCGGCAGCGAAGCGGGTCGCCGTCGCTTGTCTTCCCGCGCGCCAAATCGCTTATATGCGGTTTTTAAATCTCTTGGGCTAATGAAAATGCGCCGCATTTTTTATAAGCTGCGCACCCTGTGAGCCGCACGGTATGTTTCTGCACAGGAACGAACACCGAAGGCACGACGTATGTATACGACACAGCGGCGATGGAGCAACACGGTTGCACGGCCGTAGTACAGAAAATCGGCGAGAGAAAAACAATAATTAAACTAGCAAAACATAACAAAGAGCAATCACACCGTGCTGCAAAAGCACCAAAGTAGAAAAATTAGTTCTTGCAAGAGCTACCGCCGTCGGCACGGCGGGCGACACGGAGCGCTTCATGGAGCCGAGGGAGCAACGCGGCCGCGGTAAACGAGTCCGATTGCGACAAAAACAAACTAAAACACACAAGAAATACTCCCACAACGCTTCACAAGTACCAAAGTATAAGAATAACCCATAGTTTCGATCAAAAAGACCCTTTAAGGTTGTAAAATACTGCTAAACCACGCTCAAAAGGTCCGGCCAGATGGCATTCGCGATAGCAAGAGACCTCGAAGATGGCGACCGCGGTGGGCGATGGCAGCGAACCTAGCGAGTGACGTCAAGTGAATGTCACCTATACAGTTTATCCAGAACATGCTTTAGTGGCGCCCTCTCGAGCTGTCGACACGGAGCGTGGAAGTCGTGAGCGCTCGCTGAGCACACTAACAGGCCCTCCTCTAGTTCACGGCCACTCAAGCAACCAAGGACGTCATGAAGGAGGTTATTTCTTGCTTGTTTTTGTAATTTTAATTTTGCCTAAAACTTTTAAAATAAAGCGAAATTCGAGAAAAGTTTCACTAAGTTACTACGTTCAGTGCAAATTAAAAACCAGTCAAAAAGACATTGCAGGGCCAACACCTAGACAGCTTTCAAAGTTTGCGCGTCACGTGACACGACGTCACGCCCTGGAGGCCCGCACGGGCGCTGATTGGATGCGAGTGCCGCGTCAGCGTTCGCGTCAAACGCTTGTGAAGTTTCTGAAACATGTCAAGATAAATTAAATTTAAAGCGAAACAACGAAAAAAAGCACCTGGGAAAAAGGAGCACACATGAAGTGGGGACTAACTGAATTTATAACTAACAAAATAAATTAGAAATCAAAATAACTATATAAATGCATTCTTTAATAGTGGCAGGTAATGCGTATATTCCACGCTCAGAAACACGCTAAAGTAAAGTGACACATTCAAGCTACAATTTCTTATCAAATTGCCCTTGTCATTTAAAATGGTTACGGAGGCAGCACAGTCTCGTCAGTGTCGATATAAGTCGTGTTCATTGCGCTCTCAGGTTTTGTGTTATGACGCTCAAAATGGGGTTGATATTTAACATATCCTCATCTACTGCAGTGCACTGTGAGATGCCTCCAAGGAGCGTCTCCAAGTTGAATGGAATGTTTTCTAGCTTTAATGCCGATGCACCGGGCTACACTATGAGCTGTAACACCCGATTCAACCTTTTTCTTCGGTCACCACAATCTCTATTATGGCTCGATGTGTCAAAAAGGGTTCTCAATTTCGCATTCTGTTCCTAGATTAGACTACAGCTCTATAAAAACCGGAAGGCACGAAAAAGGAACATGGTGGACTGTTTCAACTCCCACTGTCACTTTTTGCACCCCTTTCTACAAGACAGTGTAATCTGGTAGTCAACTCCACATACACTTGTAAAGTACGGAATGCGGTGTCCTTCCTCACCCGTCCAGATTGCCAACATTATTTTAGTAGAGTGGAGATTTGGGCCAGTTGGTTCATTGCAAGCCTAAAGCGCCTTGTCCTGTTTCCCTTCGTCTGTGTCCCTGTATTTTTTCGGCGCTTCATGCTTGCCAACATTAATTTTGAGCACTAGAGGCAAGTTGCGGACAACTGTGAAGTGCCCATAGCATTTTCGACCCCTTCTATGTTTTTCTGCATCGGGGCTCCTGCTGGTCCAGCTGGGCTTTTAGGAATAACGTCTAAACATTCAACTTAAATTGAACGTTGACTTTGGAACCATATAATGACTATAACTGAACATCCCGCTCAATCTGGAAGTTTTTTATATATACCATGTGCGAATAGGCCACCTCTATGGAAAATCAGTCTGTCGGGTCTGCCAGGATTTTTAAAAGGTTTTGACATGCACTCCAAATATTTTCTGAAAGGTTTGAGAGGTCCGCCGATGTTTTCTGGGAGGCCTGACGAATCATTCATTAATTTCAGGAGGGTACGAGAGGGCCGTCGTAACTTTTTTGAAATCCCTGTAGGGACTGTCCCAGCCTTTTCCGAGAAAGCACGTGAACTGTCAGAATACATTTATAGAACCTTTGGGGTAGTTCAAGTGGCCTTTGGAAATATATGCGTTGGGGAAGCCGCTTTCCCTTTTTTTATTGGGCGGCCCCACCGTGGGTCTATCTCCTAAAGCACCTCAGTGTGCGGATAAGATAGAAAGTCTTTCAGTGCCTCGTCTCTCGCGTTTTTTGGTTCGTCCGACTTTAGAAACTCGTCCAGCAAGCGACAAAGACGCCGGGGACTCCACCGCGACAACAGCGTCACCGTGCTCAGGATTTTGTCAACGCGGCGGATGTTGGTTTCGCTAAACGTGTTACGGTCAATATCTGCTTGTTTGTATATGTGTTTGTGTGTGTTAACGTGCATTTGTGTGTTTGTGTGTTCACGCGGTGTACTCGCTCAATTTTAAGAGTTGAACTATCGAACATCTCAAGAATTTACCCAGAAGCATTGTGAGTACCTAAAAATATATTTTGGACGAAGAACAACTGAGTTACTGCTATTTGGTCTCACCGCTTCCCTC